GGTCCCTGAATATGAATCATATCAGCAAGATTTTCTGCTCAGATACATCTGTACATCTGTAATTTCCTTCTAACATTTCAATAAAACAAACTGAACTATTTTTGTTGGACATATTTAATTCTATAAAAATGGTTTCACATACCTACTGTGTGGAACAGAGAAACTGCTCTTACCCATTACAGACCCTTTGCTAGCGGGGGTTGGCAATGAATGGTCACGATTATCTGTCCCTATGTGATTCTTAATATTGTATTGAAAATGAATGCTTATATTACCTGTGTGATCTAGTTGTCCGTTTATGATAAATGTCACTCATGTTTGAGGTATGAATGAATGTCGAAAGTTGGTCTAGGATGGGCTTGTCTTATTGTTTCATGAGCAATATTATAGATTCTGATGCTCATTAATGATCGGGTGGATCCAAGAGAGAGAGGTGAAGTGTGGGTGCGAGAGAAAGACAGAGATGTAGAAATGGATGAATGAAGTGTTTGTCCACATGAACTGACAAGAAATAGAATGAAAGAAAATGAGTGAAGCAGAGAATAAGTGAAACAATGAGATGACAGAATGCAAGAGAAAACAAAATTTGAAATTGTTGTTTCATATAATGTGTATGCATGAAGAATGTACTGTAAAGTGGAAGGAGAGAATGAAAGAGTAAGATAGCTGCTGATAGGATGAATGTAGCATTACTTATGAGTGGAAATGAAGAGAAGAGGGAATAAGAGCAAGACAGAACAACCACTGTTATATTCATTTTTCCATTTATTACCTATTTATTTATTGGCATATTTGTAACATTGTATCTACCCTGACAGCAATGCATCTATGTATAACCACTGTATTCAATGTACGTATGTATTCATATTGTCGTTATTGGCAATATTCTTGTGTGAAATTGTATCCAACTCGACAGTAGTGTTTGTAGATATGAAAAAAATGGTCCACACATAATATGCTGTACATTGCATCAAATTAACTGGAAATCATGACCAGTTAATAAAAGAAAATTTCTTTATATACTCTTGTTTAAACACTCCATATTGTTTTACATCTTTAGTTATAATGATTGATTGTACACCATACCGCATTCACAATTCCTTATAAGGACGTGGGACACCTCCTTCTTTACAGCACCTTCATTTCGTCACACCCCACCCTCAATCATCAAGAGGCAATTCCCAAGACTGACATTTTCATCGGGGACCACTGTGTTAACTACATCAATTTCAACTTCACCAAGACATCTGGTAGACATGGTAGAGCACCAACCTGGGATACATGTTTATAATTCAATATTTCTGTGATGGTTCAAACATTTCCTGTTCAACTCTTTAGAATGGAGTACTTAATACAATGACATTCTTTTTTCCCTGTTAAATTATTTATGTGACATATTGGCGAAATATATTTTTGTTGTCATCCATGCAACAAGAGACTTCAACATGTCCAAGTGATAGCTATGCCATGTAAAATATTTGAAAAAGTAGAATATTTTTCCAAATACCTACCCTCTTTTGTTTTTCCAGGTAATATGAAACAAAATCTGATCTACAGAGGGTTGGAAACAGCACAGGGACCAACAGTCTGATCTACAGAGGGTTGGAAACAGATCTGGGACCAACAGTCTGATCTACAGAGGGTTGGAAACAGATCTGGGACCAACAGTCTGATCTACAGAGGGTTGGAAACAGATCTGGGACCAACAGTCTGATCTACAAAAGGTTGGAAACAGATCTGGGACCAACAGTCTGATCTACAAAAGGTTGGAAACAGATCTGGGACCAACAGTCTGATCTACAGAGGGTTGGAAACAGATCTGGGACCAACAGTCTGATCTACAGATGGTTGGGAACAGCTCTGGGACCAACAGCTGAATCTACCGTGGTTTGTAACAGGTCTGGGACCAACAGCTGAATCTACCGTGGTTTGTAACAGCTCTGGGACCAACAGCTGAATCTACAGTGGGTTGGGAACAGGTCTGGGACCAACAGCTGAATCTACAGTGGGTTGGGAACAGGTCGGGGACCAACAGCTGAATCTACAGTGGATTGGGAACAGATCTGGGACCAACAGTATTGGTGGGTAGATAACAGCTAGCTGGGACCGACAGTCCAGCATACAGTGGGTGGAGAACAGCTCTGGGACCAACAGCTGAATCTACCGTGGTTTGTAACAGCTCTGGGACCAACAGCTGAATCTACCGTGGTTTGTAACAGCTCTGGGACCAACAGCTGAATCTACCGTGGTTTGTAACAGCTCTGGGACCAACAGCTGAATCTACCGTGGTTTGTAACAGGTCTGGGACCAACAGCTGAATCTACAGTGGTTTGTAACAGCTCTGGGACCGACAGCTGAATCTACCGTGGTTTGTAACAGCTCTGGGACCAACAGCTGAATCTACCGTGGTTTGTAACAGCTCTGGGACCAACAGCTGAATCTACCGTGGTTTGTAACAGCTCTGGGACCAACAGCTGAATCTACAGTGGGTTGGGAACAGCTCTGGGACCAACAGCTGAATCTACCGTGGTTTGTAACAGGTCTGGGACCAACAGCTGAATCTACCGTGGTTTGTAACAGGTCTGGGACCAACAGCTGAATCTACCGTGGTTTGTAACAGCTCTGGGACCAACAGCTGAATCTACAGTGGGTTTGGAACAGGTCTGGGACCAACAGCTGAATCTACAGATGGTTGGGAACAGCTCTGGGACCAACAGCTGAATCTACCGTGGTTTGGAACAGGTCTGGGACCAACAGCTGAATCTACGGTGGGTTGGGAACAGGTCTGGGACCAACAGCTGAATCTACCGTGGTTTGGAACAGCTCTGGGACCAACAGCTGAATCTACAGTGGGTTGGGAACAGGTCTGGGACCAACAGCTGAATCTACCGTGGTTTGTAACAGCTCTGGGACCAACAGCTGAATCTACAGTGGGTTGGGAACAGGTCTGGGACCAACAGCTGAATCTACCGTGGTTTGTAACAGGTCTGGGACCAACAGTATTGGTGGGTAGCTAACAGCTAGCTGGGACCAACAGTCCAGCATACAGCGGGTGGAGAACAGGTCTGGGACCAACAACCTAATCTACAGTGGGTTGGGAACGTGTGAGTATGTTGTGATGAAAATAGAAACTAATATCTTAAAACTGTCAGATTATTTTCCCTTGAAACACACCCATCTCCTTCCCTAGCTGTTGGTCAAAAAGTCAAAAAGGATATCTATGTACACCGGGTTTGAGATTCCTTGTATGACAATAAGAGTGTAAATGGCACAGTCACTAATGGCCCAGTTAAAATGAGATCACGGTGCTACAGGCTTCGGGTTAGGTCCACAGGGAGATGATATTTCTTAACTACCTTGTCACTGTTTACTGTATGAATCAAGTGATAAATGTATCAGTACTTTCAACAGGTGAACTAGACAAAGATATGGGATGAAAACTTGATGTGCTTAATAGTCACTAAATGTATCCTATGAATTAGAAACTGATAGGGTGTTATCAACATGATCAATCTCAATGAAAAGAAAAAGGCAAACAGATGCTTATTATGTAGCATTCAATGGTTTCAAGATGGACCCAAGCATATTGGTCAAGTTCAACACCAGTAACTTCATCATGTTCATAACGGCTATCTTATGAAAACTGTCCTGGTTAATTGACATGAAATTCCATGTAGTGACCATTAAGTTACATTGAATGTAAAACAATACTAACTGCAAGGAAAAAATGAAAACCATTTCAAATAAATAACCTGGTTTTTCATTTATCTAAAGTGTTGCCCACTTACATTCAAAGGGCACATCTAAACATTGTGCCCTTTGGAACAATTGAAAATAAACACATATTCATTTCTTCCCTTCATCAACAGATGATGAATGACATACACATACATAGAACGATATGTGTGTTTCCTATTTCAGCCAATACAAAAATTACATTTATTTATTATTCTTAAGTTATTATTTCTTGGAAAATCAGCTTTTAATGAAGATAATGACTGTTGGCACAACAAATACCGGCTTGTGGCATAAACTATGGACAACATCAGGATGGTGATAAAAGCTATTGTGCAACTCAAGGGGGAAAAAAGGGTTTCAGGACAGGGGCATAAGATTAGGGTTGCCTGAAAGCGGAAACACACATATGTTTTGTTGGCCTAACCGGGAAACACAGGCTAGAGGAAGATCCCGAAGAAGGTGGTGGTGAGGATTATAAATAGAATGATGAGACAGATGACAATAAGGGCGATTTTTCTATGTCGCCGTGCTTCGGGGTGGTTCACAGTCCTTTGATCATATGCCTGTGGAAGCGGAGAATACTTATCAATTATTGACTATTCATGAGGGTTAAGTAATTGTTTTATACATAATATAATAACAAGAATATTTCAAATTCAACATTAGTTGAATGAGTTGCCACGAAGATGAAGCGCAACAATAAGCCATGCATTGCACTCTTGCTGATTGGCTGAAAATATTTCTTTGAGTCCATTGGCTTGATTATGCAGTGCAATCCCTTCACACCAGGGTGGGTCTCAGGACAATACCGTGTTTCAAGGAAGGTCATGTGACACTTTCTCAACCAATGAAAATAGAGATATAATTTGTAAATGTAATAACGTCAGTTGCGAACTTCAGATTATTAATAATATACCACCATGGACGACATACAATCTAAACTGGGAGTCAGCATTTCTTGACAAACAATCAGAGGTGCTTTGCTATGGGAATAATATCCGCAACATTTCATCCTTAGCATCTACTTACTTGCATATTTTCATCTCTGTTGATTTGTTAGAACTGTGAATTAATCGGGTACTGCAAGGCTAGTATACAGAGTTTAGGAATGGCATCACTTCCAGCATATTCAGTGAACCTGATGTCAAACAAAACTGTCAAGAATATACTTGTCACTACTGGTATATTATCATGAGCAAGGACCCTCGCATTGGATGCCCTAATGTCATGTCATTAACTTCCTGATTTACAGTAATACTTACCAGAGGGGTTGTGTTATAGCCAGCAGGCATCACCGTCTGCACAGTGCCCTGAGACGGGTTATACACCACCCCGGTAGCCGTGGCATTTGTTGGGTGGGTGTATGAGCCTGTGGGCTGGTACCCTGCAACAGCAGGGGCCGTGGGACCTGGCCCGTACGACGTGGACATGGTGCTGTACCCAGCTGCCGCAGATCCATACTGTGCTTCAGGGGGATGTGCAAAACCTCCAAACTGTGCACCATATGTTTGAGTCTTTGCAGCGTACTGCTTGGCCCTCCCGACATACTCCGGAGGAGGCGCACCTGGTCGCCGTGGGGGTATTCCCGTGATTGGAGGGGGTCCGCCTGGCTGGGTGGAGTATGCCCCTGGGGGAGTGGCAGTGTCAGTGTTGTAGGTGAAAATGGAGCCTGTCTGTGAGAGAGGTGGTCCCAGATTTGACATCTGTCCTGACGCATCATACTGAGGGTACCCCTGTGCCTCATCATAGGAAGGCGGAGGGCCTTGATCTGGGAATTGAATGTGTGATGTATTATCAATGATAATAGATACCAAAATGAAAACGACTTATATTTGTATTTCTGTCAAACAAAAATGTCAAAAACAAAACACAAGTTGCAAATTCTTAATATTTTAAAAACAACTTTACAATAAAATCACATTGATGTAAACATAATTTGAGCACAGGCAAATACTTTCGTCCAATGGGTGGTCACTATTTTGGTCACGTGGCGTAGATTTATATGCGGATAAAGTACTGTAAAGTTCATAGAGGTGTGAAACTCCCGTGCTTCATGAAACTTGTTCAGTATGAAACATTTCAGCATGACATTATTGAAGATCTGTGTCACATTTATCTTAACCAGAAATACCATGTACATCCTACCTTAAAGAAGTATAATATACTAATGTCTGTTGACAACATTCAAATTGACCTGTGAAGATCCAGAGTAGAATACAGTCTTCAGCAACACATGCTTGCCATAAAACTAAAAGGCGACTATGCTTGCCGTAAGAGGCGACTAATGGGATCGGATGTTCAGGCTCAGTGACTTGGTTGATCATTGTTGATGCATGTCACCGTATCCCAATTGCGTGGATTGATGCTCATGATGTCAACCACTGGATTGTCTGGTCCAGACTCAACTATTTACAGACTGCCATCATGTTACTGGAATATTGCTGAGTGCTGCGTTAAACAACAAACAAACAAACATTGTAAACCTTGGGGAATGCTTGTTTTTCATGCAATGCAATTCCCAGTAAGAAACATCAACATGGATTCATCTAGGATCCCAAAGTCTGTGCCCTTGTCAAACAAATTGGGATATTGTTCAAAATTGGAAGTTTTTAATGTTCTGTTTTGTAAATTCTGAGAAAATTGTGAATTCATAATTCAAACTGGGAATTTTTACAGATATTTCCTGCAGACTTGGGGCTGAATATCGGCCTCTGGGCAGGCCATATGAATCCCTAAGCAGTGTTCATGTGTAATTCAAAGACTGGTAGTTTGCTGCATTGTAACTTAAGCTGTATGGGCTGATGGCCTACATCCATGCTGAATGAAGAAGATCGACTGATTGACAGTTAAAGCCATATTCAGGATCTTTAGTCCTTGAGCCATCCTTACTGTAAAAGTTATTCTTCCATCTATACTTTCAAAAAGCTCCTGTGTCAATCCTTAGGTTGGTTGGTTATTTAACAGCGCACTCAGCAATATTCCTCTTATCATGCTTATATGAGTCTGGACCAGACAAACCAGTGATCGATGTTCTGTGCAGCGATTAACAAAATTAGGGTACAATGACACACCAACCAAGTCACCAAGCCTGACCAACTGATCTAATTAGCACATTTAGTCTCTTCTTACAAGCAACGATTGCTGGGGATCAATTCTGACCTGGAATCCCCACCACAGTGGATCCTTAGTGCCCAGGACAGTTTGGGATAGGGTTCAATTTTTTATATTATTTACATGATTTGGTATCCATGCGTAATATGGTATGAAGTGCTGAGTTGTCACATGCAAGTCTGTGCCAAAAACATTTGAACTTGACTCATCATTAATAGTATGTTTTAATCTTATCACATGGACATTTATTAGCGGTGATTATCAGACAGAACAGAATTTTACTAGACTAGGTCTTCGGACTTAAGTCAGAGATTCCATCAATCTCATTCAAATCGGATCCTAGTTCTCGCTACCGCTTAACAAAGATCTGAGGACATCCCATTAGGGGTCACGTCAGAACGACCTTTCATCCGTCCAATCAGAGCGTCGCTTACCAGATCATGAAAGTGACAGTCGGAATGTGTTATTTAATCATGCAACCTCGAAATTGTTCACACAGGGTATTCCGAACGACAGTTACGGCCCGTACGACTGATTCCGTCAAAATTATCGTCTCTTTCTTCCGTGGGAGAAACATTTGAACGGTGAAGGCATTGCACAGTACGCTGGAAGCACTGCCATTCAATCGCAACCATATATAAGACATTTTGGAATGTTCGTTTTTTCAGTTTTTAAAATTTAATCGAGAACTGTGTCAACATATTTTTCAAGCGTAGTCTGAAATGGAAGTTGCCAGATTGAAACGAGTGCCGTAAAGCTCGAGAAAGCTGCTTCCTAATTGGCTGATGTAGACTTCTTGTTAGTCGTTTCAGTGGGAGGTCAAGGTTTGCAAAAGGTCGTTCTGACATGACCCGTAATGTGATGTCCTCAGATGTTTGTTTAGCGATAGCGAGAACTTAGATCTGATTTTTATGAGATTGGGGACTCCATATGTCTTGAAAACCAACATCTGTCACTTTGACGAGAAACATAATTATGAGGGACTGCATAATTCACCATTGAGGAACATGATTAGCTGATATTGCCGTATCTCAACAATACTGTGATTGGTTTTAACATACTGTGACACCACTTCAATTCATGCCATTGATTGAACTAGGATTCCAAACCACAAGTGCACTTGGACAGCAATTTGGGAAAGAACATTATTTCGTACAAAACTTGGATTTTCTAAAAGTTCTTATTTACTGAAACTCTGCGGTACTCTAACATTTATTCAATGCAATAACATAAAACTAAGCACAAAAGCCATCTTTATTGCTCCTGTTTCCAGGGAAATAAATGTCCCATTTACAAAGCCATCACAGTAATTGAATAACCTGAATTGAGAATTTTATGTGTGTGACAGCGACCGTTGCCTACCAAGGTTACCTATCGTGCATATCATCAAGATACATGTACTCTCTGCCTCAGATGATGATGATGAGTATGGTTTTACGCCTCTTTTAGCGATGTTCCAGGAATATCACGGCGGGGGACACCAGAAATGGGCCTCCCACATTGTACCCATTTCGGGAATTGAACCCGGGTCTTCGGCGTGACGAGCGAACGCTTTAACCACTAGGCTACCCAACCGCCCCTCTCTGCCTCAGAAAAAGATGTGAAGTGCAAATGTGAGAGATAAAGTGCACTATTCCTGGGAAGTGGTGTTAAATACGTTGATTACAGTATTTTTATTCCTATATTCAGATATTTTAAATAGACCCTTGGGCTTGTAGGAAAAACAACACTACAGGTTTAGTCTCACATAGGCATTACGTATACTTGTCTAATTCGTATTGTTATTCGTATTCGTAACACACAAAATGACTAAATACAGCCAAGCCATGTGTCATTTCTAAGATTTATAAACATAGGTACCATTCTACACGACCTATATGTTATTCATAAAGTTATTGATTAGTGCGACTGGCGGTACGGTGTAGCACTGGCAGACGTCATCATTCTCAGTGCTGTTGAATGGCAGGAAGAAGTAACGTTGAAATGTAAACAACGCATAGATATACTTACTGTCAGACATATCTTTCAAAGCCAAGATCTCATAACTTCAAACAAAAAAGAAGAACTCGTAATCTCTGTGTTTTCCAAACATCGACAGAAAATATTCTTCCATCATTAATACACCGGAAGTGAGATGAATAACATTAGAGTGATGTCCCTTGTTAGAAGCGGCTGAACAAGATTTTGACATTTTTATTATGTTTCTTTATTCTTTCAACATATCATTTTTTGTACTTGTTTATTTTAATCTATATTTTCTAGATTCTTTAACCATATGTTAACCGTTACGGGTCATAACTCATAATATTTCCCATTAGGTAAAAGCGCGAGTGTAATAACTTTCTTTATCATCCAAAACTGGCTCTCACAGCAGATATTGCTTGGGTGAGATCAAGCGATATCTACATTGTATAGAGATCGTTGCAATGAAATTGCATCACAATGCTCTGCAGACAATTGTGACGTCATTTTTACATGACGTCACAATCAAATGACATCACTAATGGCTCTGTTACTGAAGCTGTTAGCAGTACTTTTTACACTTAGACACTGCTTAAAAATTATTACTGTCTACAAACTGCAAAAGTTGGAAGAATGATGTTGGATAATAAATAAAATCTCAGCGGTAAGCCTCGGTTTTTTTTCAGTGAAGATCCAGGGTAGATAGGTCTTCAGCAACCCATGCTTGCCGTAAAATGCGACAATGCTTGTCGTAAAAGGCGACTATAGAGATCGGGTGGTCAGGCACGCTGACTTGGTTGATGCATGTCATCGATCCCAATTGCGTGGATCGATGCTCATGATTTCAATCACTGGATTGTCTGGTCCAGACTCGATTATTTACAGACCGCCGTCATATAGCTGGAATATTGCTGAGTGCGGCGTTAAACAACAAACCAACCAACCAATCATATATTTGAAGTATAACCATAGGGTTAGAAATAACGGAGTTCATAAAACACAACACGTATTGGCACTAATGCAAATATCATTTCACGCGTACCAGTGTATTGTTTACGTCATCCGGACGGCATTGTTGATTCGATCATTCAAATGTTATTGTAGCGTAAGGTGGGCATGACGTCACACTAGACACAACGTCATAGCTCGACAATTGTGGTTTTCTAAGAGGGCGATCGTGATCAGTGCATTTGTTCTAAAGGGGGGCTCAAAGGGGTAATGAGTAATACAGAAATTACACTCGCCCTCGCTCGGGAAATACTCGTTTCAAAATCAGCACAACACATATGCGAGTTAAATAATCTCTATGTATTTGTACGTACATTAGTTAGATTCTCAAAGCTGGTTAGTTAAAGCAATATGACGTCACAAAGGAGCATTGTTACTAGTGGTAGTAGTAGCGTATTATTACGTCATTGTGTCATTGTGCATTAGGCAACACGTGGATACCGTTACTACGCAATGAGAACAATAGACTGGTAGATATGACATTCCAGACGTTTTTCTTCACGTTCCTTCTCAATTGATTCCAGAGTGGGGTAGTGTCTTTCTCACAACAATGATAGACCTGTGAAGGTCCGGGGTAGAATAGGTCTTCAGCAACCCATGCTTACCGTAAAAGGTGACTATGCTTGTCGTAAGAGGCGACTAACGGGATCGGGTGGTCAGGCACGCTGACTTGGTTGATGCATGTTATCGTATCCCAATTGCGTGTATCGATGCTCGAGCATGATGCCAATCACTGGATTGTCTGGTCCAGACTCGATTATTTACAGACCGCCGTCATATAGCTGGACTATTGCTGAGTGCGGCGTTAAACAACAAACAAACAAACACATCTATGAAGGTTCACATAGACAAAGAGCGCTACCAAATTGTTACTTTCTTATGTGTTTACAGATTTGCGTCTTTTACTGGCTATATCTATATCTATTTGATGCGCGGAAATATCATTTCAAACAGAAAGCGACAATAACCACCACAATTCGGAAAACACATAATGTTTATCAACATTGTAACATCCAAACGTTATCAGTTATTCTTTTATGAGTTTTTAGATTACTCCACTCTGATTGGTCAATCAGAGGTTATCAAATCTCAATGAACCCCCTCTGATTAAAAAGCCGATTTAACGGCTGCATCACCGCGGAAGCTATCATTTATAGAATTGTACTTCATTTTCAGTCATTGTCTGGAGGACTTACTGAATATATTACATGTATAATTATAGGTAACAAAAAAAATGCTGGACCCGTGAAGATCCGGGGTAGAATAGGTCCTCAGCAATCCATGCTTGCCGTAAAAGGCGACTATGCTTGTCGTAAGAGGCGACTAACGGGATCGGGTGGTCAGGCTCCCTGACTTGGTTGATGCATGTCATCCATCCCAATAGCGTGGATCGATGCGCATGATACTAATCACTGGATTGTCTGGTTCAGACTCGATTATTTACAGACCTCCGTCATATAGCTAGAATAGTGCTGATTGCGGCGTTAAACAACAAACCAAACTAAACCAAACCAAAAAACAAAATGCTATGTTGTGGTTACTACAATATTCAAAGGAGATGTGGCAATCTATGTCGTGTAGAAAACACGATAAAAATCTACAATGACAATGTATTTCACGTTTTGGGGACAACCGAAGGCGTGAAATTTGGTTGTTTTCTAAACGACTGTGACGTAATATATTTTGCGTCATATGACATGACATGATGTCATATTAGGGTGCAATAAAACTCCAGAGCAGCGCGATATTTTGTTTAAAGACTGTTGTCGGTGATTCCGTAATTCAAATCGACAACCCAGTCAAAACACTGGACACAACCCATGTCGCTTCACTCAGTATATTTGCTAACAATAAAGAGTTTTGTCATGTGGAATGGAGATAAAAAGAGGATTTTTCCGGTGTCTCGTGAAATATCATGTTTCTCTCATCTCGTGACGCGGGAAAAAGAGATATTTTCACTAGTGGCGTAGCTACGAGTGAAAGTATCTCCTTTTCCCACGTCACCCTCACACATGGAATATCCGATTTATTATATACTCTTTGTGTAGTTGTCTACCGGAAAATTAATTATTTCATTACCAACGTAAAACCTTGAAACGTAAATTCTCCCTTCCTAACACAGGGACGGGTCACGCCCGTTGTATTTGCGACTATAAAAGTAGTTTAAATTATAACAAATATAAAAAAATGTAACAAAAGATATTTGTGGTCGTGAAAATTCTGTTTCATACATATAGATATGATTATATACAAAATATACTTAGTCTTGAAAAAGAATACGCGCTGGTCCAGTAATGAAAGTGGCGCTTTGCGAAACGAACGGTCTCGATTGAAGGGTTAAGTGAGAAATGTACAGTTTAAAACGGAACATTTTTAAGAGAATAACAAACGCCATGAAGCGATATTAACTCTATAAATGACCCTCGATCATTAGTTTGCCTTGTCAATGTGGAACGTACGTAAAAAGGAAGTCAACAGTTTGAGAACGGACAAAACACTTACGATAAAGGGAGACAATTCGAGGAAAGGTGACTGTATGACAATAGTTCCGTCAAAGTGTTATGTTCACTTTAGTGAAAAATCAATATTATTCTTGTGTTCACTGCAATGGAAAAATCACTTTTCTCAACTCACACTCACACTTCACACTTAAGTACATAATAAACGTGTTTATTTCATAATTTCAGTTTATTTGACGTCTCATCCGGCTTAGGTTAGCCTCCGGGAATTAGTTTAGCTGCTATACAAATGCCTCTCCTCTTACGACACACGCACGCACGCAAGCACGCACGTAAGCACACTCAAACACACACACACACACACACACACACACACACACACACACACACACACCGAATCTTTATTTATCACCATATTTTCGCAAGGAGATTTTTTCTCACATACTCTGATACATATTGACCACAAAACATAATATATTATATTGGGGTATTCATTTTGCCAAGCCGAACATGTCACGTTATGAGGTGACCTATGCTTCCTCTGAATCTCTTAAGCGTGGGACCCATATGCTTTGGAATGTCCCACAGGGAGATAAGCATGGGGTTTATGGGACCTATTCTTCGTCGGAATCCCCAAAGGGAGACAGGTACACGGGGCGGGGTTCAGGGGGGCATATTGCGTCCTTACTGGGATTTTCAACTTAAAACTACCATGGTGTTTTGTTTGAAAAAGCATTGATTTCTTAATCATCATCATTGTATACTGACATATTGTCACACTGTGTCTTTAAAGCAGAACACGTGGGGATTCCAGTAATGACACGATCTCCAGTAGCCCTACATCTTCCCCAGGCAAGGGAGTTTACTGACTGTAAAAGTCCAGTTTCCACCTTTGTCGAACTAGACTGGAATTTCTGGGCTAGATCGTAGCGCCACCAGTGTCCCTCCTATTGACCGATCGGATTCTATCAATCATATCACCTGCATTTGCTTCAAACAAAATGGCGGCGATCTATATTGTAATAAAACGGGTCTTACGCGAAGTGCACCAAAGTCACGTGAGCACCTTGATTAGAAACATGAAACGATTTGGAAAAAAATATCTGTTGACACCGAGTACACATGATTTACAAATCCGGCAATTGACCGAAATCTGCACTCCAGGTGACGTACCGGATGTCGACTTCGTTACGCGGTTTTGATTGGACAATGCACAGACTCGTTAGTCTAGCCAAAATATAACTCCACAATTCCAGTCTAGTTGGGCAAGGGAGGAAACTGGACTTAAATAGTCATATAACTCCCTTGCTCGGGAAGATGGTAAACCCAATAAAGGGTCAACTTCTGTCACTTGGCGTGTCAACGTGCCACGATGGAGTGAACCATTGCACTTGCTTTGAGTCACTGATTTGCTTGTTCCTGGTCGTCATTGCGTAGTTGTCATATTGCTGGCTACGGCATAAAATAACATTCGCCCCCTTAAATTAACACAAGGACCCATCAGCCATGAGACGTTTCATGGATAATAACTTCTTTATCGTTATCCATACAAAAGTTTAACAGCTGTATGTTTTAAATGCGTATCAAAGACTTGGAACAACCAGCAGTCGATACACAATAACGAATTCCTAGCTACTAATTAATGTCATATCACGTTATAAAGATGTGCTGGTACATTTTTTTTAAACGTAATTTTTTCTTATAGAAGACAAGGTCAAGCAGCCACACACACACATAGGGGGCAGCACATCACAATACAAGTGCAATAATCAGGACAGCCACCTATAACCCAATTTCACTTCACCGTTTATAATGAACACTATTATAACGAACTGTCGGATATAACGACCTATTTCTTGGTCCCCTCCATTTTCTGTCTATATGCTGTACATATGCTTATAACGAACAACGTATATAACGAATACAAATTAGTGGTCCCTTTGAGTTCGTTATAACCGTAGTTTACTGTATATACAGATCACCAATGTTGTGTTCGTTATAACTGTAGTTTTACTGTATATACAGATCACCAATGTTGTGTTTATTGGAAATTGGACATGAAGCACCAATTATAAAAGTATAGGGTTAATAGTACCTCTTTATAAGGCAGGAGCTAAAACTGACCCAGGAAACTATAGAGGATTAGCAATACTTGACGTTATCAGTAAAGTGTTTTTAACTATCATAAATGATAGAATTAAGTTCTGGATAGATAATGGGTACAATGTGTGAAGCCCATTTCTGGTGTCCCCCGCCGTGATATTGCTGGAATATTGCTAAAAGCGGCGTAAAACCATACTCACTCACTCACTCTGGATAGATAAACAAGATCTTATTTCTGAAGCGCAGGCGGGCTTTCGGGAAGGTTTTACCTTTATCTTACATTCAGTAATTCATAAGTATATAAGAAAGAAGAGGGGTAAATTTTACTGCATATTTGTTGACTTCCATAAAGCATTTGACTCTGTTGACAGGAATAAATTGATGTATTTGTTAATACAAAGAGGTATCCATGGAAACGTGTATAATTTACTAAATGGCATATATCAAAATGTAAAAGCATCTGTAAGGTACAATAAGCAAACCATGACTGATGTATTTAATACAGCATGTGGAGTGCGACAGGGGTGCATATTGTCACCGGTACTTTTTATAATGTACATTGGTGAACTTGTAAATGATATATTAACATCCGATACCAGTGACATATTTATTGATGTATCTCTTAAAGCATTGTCTATACTGCTTTTCGCAGATGATGTAGCAATATTTGTAGATACTGTTTTAAATCTTCAAAAGAAAATAGATATTTTAAGCACCTACTGTGAGAAATGGGGATTAAAAATGATTTCTAAGAAAACGAAAATTGTAGTTTTCAAAAAAGGTGGGACCTTATATAAATATGAGAAATGGTTTATAAATGGGATAAAAATTGAAGTAACGTCATATTACAAATATCTAGATATTGTCTTCTCGTGCAGGAACATGTTTATGAAAGCGTGTGAGACATTATCCCAACAGGCTGAACAAGCAGTATTCCTAATCAAACGCTTTATGTATAGATTTAAAAATCTACAGGTTAATGCTGCCTTCAAGCTATTTGACGGTAAAATTAAGCCAATTTTGTTATATGGCGCAGAACTATGGGGTTGGGAGCTCCGAAAATCTATTGAAAAAGTCCACACAAACTTTTGTAAAAATGTTTTACAAATTGGCTCCAGATCCCCAAACAAAGCTGTTTTAGCTGAGTGCGGGCGTTATCAGCTATGTTTATTTGCAAATGTCAGATTACTTGCATTTTGGATCAGGCTTCTCCGTCAACCAACACACAGATACACCAAGAAGTGTTATGAAATGTTAAAAAGATTAGACGAATCGGGTGATGAAAACTGGGTCTCGAAAGTACGGAAACTGCTTTGCAAATATGGTTTTGGTTATGTGTGGGTAGCCCAGTCAAATGATAACAGAAACTACTTCTTAGAATTATTTCAGCAACGATGTAAAGATGTATATTTCCAAGAGTGGAGCCATGAAATATCCATATCAAGATACTTAAAATTCTACTCAATGATTAAACATGACTACAATCCCGAGAAATACTTATTTATCAATAATGCAGGTTTACGGAGATGCCTGACAAAGCTACGTTGTAATATTCATAGTTTCAGTGTAAATTCTTATAGAAAGCACCAAACACCAGATACATCTTGTCATTATTGTAACGCACAATTTGAAGATTAACTCCATGTCGTGTTGGTATGTCCGGCTTATAACCATTTACGTGTTAAATATCTTCCAACTTATTATTATTATTATCAACCAAATATGTACAAATTTATCAACTTGTTGAACATGGTTGGTTATGATGAGTTACTAAAGCTCTGTATTTTCCTTGATAAAGACTTTAAAATAAGAAATAATATGAATGTATTGTGAAAGAAAATATGTTACTGGCGCCGTATCATTATATTGTCCCATATTTTACACATGTTGTACTGTTGGCCTCATGGCCATTTATACGGAATAAATGACCTGACTTGACTTGACTAATAAAAGTGTATGTAATTTCATGCAGTCAAAGTCTCATGAATATTCATAGAAAGAGACATCGACCAAGGCTACACTTGTAGCTCCCAACAATGTTCAGCCTAGAAGAGGTCAAGAAAATGTTTGCGAAATTTGACTACGTCCGTTTTTCCCTGTGCGACCTGAACGGTTTGCATCGTGGTCAAACGGTATCCAGTCGACACGCTGCGCAATATTTGGAAGAAGGGCTTGATTTATTTCAGGGTAGGTTTAATCGCTTTTTTTCGCAGTTAGATGTACGTGATGAAATAACCTAACCCGCTTGATTGAGATATGATATGAGTTATCAAGCGATCGCGAGGGGTATATGGTGTGATGTACCCTCTGTGTGAGCCTCACACACAGGGTACATCACACCATATGACCCGAGGGATGGATTGACAACATATATATCTTAATGATTTTCACTCATACAAGCACGGAATATATGTCAGCTGTTTCAATGAGTTAGCAAAACACCCAGCAGGCGTCGCAAACGAACCGAGTTGCTCCCTTTTACCCAATGCAATCGCATATACATCGGTTCATTTCAGAAACTCAAATATATACATATGCGAGATAAGCACGTTACCTAAATATGTTCCGATTGATTTCTGAGTGGGTTACATGGAAAATAAATGCTCCCACCTTAACCAATCAGAAGCTTGTACTGTAAAGTAAGGCAAGATTACCAAACATAGCCAGTTTACTTGTTTTTGTCCAACTTCGGTTAACCAAAATTTTGCCCATGACCTCTGAACCCCTGGGTTGCAGCACTAGTTAAAGTTGAAGCTAGTTAGTTTCATTTGTCGATTAAATCATGAGTAAAAACATTTTAATGAATTATATAATTAACTAACTATTGGTAGTATATATATACTGAACAATAAACAGGGATCATGAATACTTTTGGAGATTGTTTTGTTGTGAGAAAACGACAGCTTAGTCAAGCAATGAAACACACACTCATAGATGTGTGTTGTGGCAATGCACGTGGCTGTTGTGTTCTCATGTCAGACATTTTGTATTATATACTTCATAGAATAGGTCTTCAGCAACCCATGCTTGTCGTAAGAGCCGACTAACGGGATCGGGTGGTCAGGCTCGCTGACTTGGTTGATGCATGTCTTCGTATCCCAAATTGCGTGGATCGATGTTCATGTTGTCAATCACTGTATTGTATGGTCAAGACTCGGTTATTTACAGACCGCCGTCTTATAGCTGGAATGTTGCTGAGTGTGGCGTTAAGCAACACACAAACAAACGAACAAACTCTTTAGGCAGGACACGATGAAAAGGTATAGTGTCCGGCTGCTCGATATGCACTTCCAGTTTTTCTCCTTACTACATGGATTATAAATTTGAACGATTAATGGAGCGTGAAATTGCTTCCGGAATTCTGATATTTTAGCTTTGAATAATAACCTTTTATTTCGCCATACAATCAGGTGTCGAAATGGGACTTTACATGCAATGAAAATGAATTAAATATGTGATGAGACACATGCCACGCTATTTCACTTTTTTTCTATTTTTGGAAACAGCTATGACGTTGTGATCTTCACCTCCACTCCCATTAAAGCCACCCGTTACCCCCAAAATGCTATTGCAATACTTGAGTGAGTGAGTTTTGTTTTACGCCGCTTTTAGCACTATTCCAGCAATATCACGACAGGGGACATCAGAAATGGGCATTACACATTGTACCCATGTGGGGAATCGAACCCGGGTCTTTGGCGTGACGAGCGAACGCTGTAACCACTGCGCAACCCCACTGCCCCTTATAATTCGAGGAATGGCTAAAATTAGTAAAACTGATTTGAATAGATAATCTCATTATGAGTACTATATTTTACCATAGATGTGTTATGTTTCACCAACATCTCTTAACATTCAACCCCGGTCAATGATTTCTCTTTCTCAAATATTGGAAATATGTTGTAAAATTAGCCTCTGTAGGCACGTGAAATCCAAATCATGCGAGTGTTGTTTGTTTGTTTGTTGTTTAACGCCGCATTCAGCAATATTCCACCTATATGAAGGCGGTCTGTAAATAATCGAGTCTGGACCAGACAATCCAGTGATTAATATCATGAACATCGCTCCAGGCAATTGGGATCGATGACATGCATCAACCAAGTCAGCGAGCCTGACCACCCGATCCCGTTAGTCGCCTCTTACGACAAGCATAGTCGCCTTTTACGGCAAGCATGGGTTGTTGAAGACCTATTCTACCCCGGATCTTCACGGGTCTCATGCGAGTGTTGAAAAGAACAGTTTCATTTTCATTTAAATATACTCAGGTATAACTTTCAAACTGTCTCAAATTAACTTTTGTCTGTAAATACTAAGTCTTGCATCTGGACACATGAAGATCCGGGTTAGTATTTACCTTTAGCAACGGGATTGGAAAGGTGTCAGTCACTAGATTGTCTAGTCCAGACTCGATTATATAAAGACCGCCTCCATATAGATGGAATATTGCTTCGTGTGACGTAAACACAAAAACAAGCTTAGTCTTGGGACATGAATCAACGAAGTTAGCCGATCGCGATAAACGGCTGTTAAGTCACCTTGTATTATTATTATAAACAATATAATTCCCTTCGTAGACGTCTTGCTGGTGAGTCCTACCTCCGATAGAGTCACGGTGAAGCATTCGAAAAGTTACAACTATGGCAGCATGAGGATAATCCCCGACTTGAACACACTGAGGCCTGTTCCCTGGGTTGAAAATGGTGTCAAAGTCGCTGAAATGTTATGCGAGTCACGATGGAAGACAGACAATGCGCCGCAAGAAGCTTGTCCCCGCTATGTGGCTCGCCAACAGTTACAACGATTAGGCGAATTGGGTCTCAAACTGTATTCCGGATTTGAAATAGAGTTTACATTATTGGAGAAGAAGTCGTTGAAATCAGTGAACGAGTTTAACGACGTTTACCGCCAGTCCAATTTTGCTAAACATAGCAATTACTTCTTTGGGTTCGATAGGAACTTTTTTGAGTCAAAGATCGATATTGAGAGATTTCACTGTGAATTAGGCCCAGGACAATTTGAAGTAGTAATGAAACCAAAATATGGCATCGAATGTCCTGATATGACCTTGAACTTGAAAGAAGGACTTATTGAAACGGCCAATCAGAAGGATCTCGTTGTGTCTTTCATGACAGACTCACAAACCACTAACACTAGTCACTTTAACTTTTCGCTGTGGAGCGAAACAGGAGAAAATATGTTCTACGATGCCAGTTCTCCAGACAACCTGTCAGTCACTGCAAAACAGTGGATTGCAGGTATCCTTAAGCACGGTAAAGCTCTCACCGCTTTCGCTAACCCTACCATCAACTGCTTCAGAAGGATCGGGGTAGAAATGTGCCCCTCAGTTATTTCCTGGGGAATAGAAGACCGAGATGGATGCCTCCGGATAAAAAATGAAGGTCCCTTCAAAACATACATGGAATATAGACCTCCAAGCGGAAAGATCAATCCGTACTTAGTGATGGCATCCATCATCGCTGCAGGTCTGGATGGAGTCATCAACAAAATGGAATGCCCACCCCCGGGTATAACAGGGAGCTCCGAGACTCTTCCCAACTCTCTGTCGGAAGCTCTGGAGGAGTTGGAAGAGGATGTCGGGCTGGTGAATGCCCTGGGACAGGAACTTGTCACCTGGTTTGTCAAGTGCAAGAGAGTTGGGGAGATCGCTAAGTTTGAAGGTCTTCAAAACGATGGAGAAGCATTTGCTATGGAGAGACAATTGTACTTTTAGTAATGCTACCAGTATACATGTCTCACTGTGCCAAGAATACCTTAAAGGGACGAAATTGGCCTTGAAGTGGAATCTTATGTTTATTCAGAGAACGTAAATAATCAGACACATTTAGTCCGGAGGTACCGTTCAAATGGTTGATATCTCTTTACATTCCTGTTTGACTGAGCTTAATATTTTTGGTGTTCTTTTCCACAAGTGTACCATGATCCCGCATGCATTCATTGTCTATTGAGCCAAATGTGAAAATGTTTGAAATATCTGTTTTACTAAACATCACGTTTCCTCAGCGCAGTATGACCGCCCCTGCTGTTGGATGTGCTATCGACTTCTCGAGAACTGTTGGCATTTTTTTCAGGAAAAAACCCAAAACAGTTTAGTTTGCATATCTGTGCATTTTAGACAGTTGTGAAAGCATGTGACTTAATTTATCGACTCGCGGTTTTCCGAAACTAAACATTCTAAGATCAGCATCGTTACAGTGTGCACAACAGTGCTGATCAATACGTCCTTGATTGCTTCAGCACATCAGTTGCGGGAGTTTGTGTGAATGTGAATCGTTGACTTTGCTCAGTCTGTAAAGACCTACACTAGCACGGGCTGGCTCAGTTAAACTTCGAAATGCTCCATTTCCATATCTGATGTTTATCTGGACTTTCCCCGCAAGTTGTCTCGACGCAACGAGATGTTGAGGCATTGGGGATATCATATTCAGTGTATGACATTTATGGATGTAAATTAAAATGTGTTTAAAACGTTTTTAACTCTTGTCCTCCAATCTCAAACATTCCCAGTACCCAATGCTTGTCGTCAGAACAAAAATGGGGACAAGTTGATACTTGCACAAAGCAATCTTAGCTCTAATACAATCGTAATTCCCATACTGTGATTTTGGTTTAACTAATCTTAGCGCTAGTATAAACGTAACTCTCATACTGTAACATTCAGTTTGGCTTAGCGCATATACAATCGTAACTCCCATACTGTAACATTCAATTTGGCTTAGCGCTAATACATTCGTTACTCCCATGCTGTAATATTGCTTCAACTAATCTTAGCTCTAATGCAATCGTAATACAAATACTGTAACATTGGCTAAACTAATCTCAGCGCTGATACAATCGTAACTCCCATACTTTAACATAGGCTAAACTAATCTTAGCTCTAATACAATCGTAATACACATACTGTAACATTGGCTAAACTAAGCTTAGCGCTAACAGAATCGTAACTCCCATACTTTAACATAGGCTAAACTAATCTTAGCGCTAATACAACCGTAACTCACATACTTTAACAAAGGCTAAACTAATCTTAGCGCTGATACAATCGTAACTCCCATACTTTAACATAGGCTAAACTAATCTTATCGCTAATACAAACGTAACTCCCATACTTTAACATAGGCTAAACTAATCTTATCGCTAATACAACCGTAACTCCCATACTTTAACAAAGGCTAAACTAATCTTAGCGCTAATACAACCGTAACTCACATACTTTAACAAAGGCTAAACTAATCTTAGCGCTGATACAATCGTAACTCCCATACTTTGACATAGGCTAAACTAATCTTAGCGGTGATACAATCGTTACTCCCATACTTTAACATAGGCTAAACTAATCTTAGCGCTGATACAATCGTAACTCCCATACTTTAACATAGGCTAAACTAATCCTAGCGCTAATACAATCGTAACTCCCATACTTTAACATAGGCTAAACTTATCTTAGCGCTGATACAATCGTAACTCCCATACTTTAACATAGGCTAAACTAATCCTAGCGCTAATACAATCGTAACTCCCATACTTTAACATAGGCTCAATTAATCTTAGCGCTAACAGAATCGTAACTCCCATACTTTAACAAAGGCTTAACTAATCTTAGCGCTAACAGAATCGTAACTCCCATACTTTAACATAGGCTAAACTAATCTTAGCGCTAATACAATCGTTACTCCCATACTTTAACATAGGCTAAACTAATCTTAGCGCTAATACAATCGTAACTACCATACTTTAACATAGGCTAAATCAATCTTAGCGCTAATACAAACGTAACTCCCATACTTTAACATAGGCTAAACTAATCTTAGCGCTAACAGAATCGTAACTCCCATACTTTAACATAGGCTAAACTAATCTTAGCGCTAGTACAATCGTAACTCCCATACTTTAACATAGGCTAAACTAATCTTAGCGCTGAGATTGCTTTGTGCATGCGACGCCTGATGGACATGCCATATCTGTGACTTGGGCAGATTGTGTTGTCGTGACAATGACGTGGGACGTTGACGAGGTCATCAACCACAGGTTTACCTGAGTGAATTATTGACCGGTCACCCCAGGCGGAATATATGTTCACTGTGGCGTTACCCGAATCAGAAAGTTTTCACATGTGATTGGCCGAGATTGTAAGTAAACACTTTCAGGAACTACACATCAACACTTTCTATACCACTTTGACTTGATTTCTTGTAAAGGGGGTTTGAACAAACTTGACATTCACCATGAATGTCATATAAAGTCAAGTCACTCTGGGGTTGCATGTTGAACATGGCGAAAACCAGTAATGCTTAAATTAATAACACAACAAATCAGTCCGTAAGAATAAATTATAACATCGTAATGAAAATCTGGAACTCATTGAAAGACCCGAGAATGGTGCGATTTGAAACTATGACACAAGTGTAACACGTCTCATGTTTGAATTGTTTTCACTTGCGTTTCTGCTTTTAAAGTTAAATGTTTATATATCAGGAATATACTTGAGTGACATAACACGTTGGTTTCTTATTTCACTCTCCTTATTTTAGTGACGTTTTGTTTTGTTAGACTAAAATAAGAAAACACATGATAAATAGAAAATTGTATTTTTGGTCAAGTAATATCTTCATCCAATCTCATGTCTGAAAAACACATTTTCCCTCATGGCTACGCCGCCAACGAATATATGAGATCTTTTTGTGGAAGAAAAGCCAAATATCTTAATTTCATTTGACCCCATGTTTGCATTAACGCATGCTTGTCGAAAGAGGCGACTAACGGCAACGGGAGGTTAGGCTCGCTGACTTGGTTGATGCATGTCATCGTATCACAAATGTGTAGATCGACGCTCATGATGTCAATCACTAGATTGTCTGGTCAAGACTCTATTATTTAGAGACCGCCGTCATTTAGCTGGAATACTGCCGAGTGCGGTGTTAAATAATAAACTAACAAACAGTTTAGAGAACAAGGGGGATAGTTTGGATACACATCATGTTTGTTACAACGAATGCGGGGCACCGGTGGCCCGGTCGTCTGAGGCGCAGCAATTCACTGTGCAGAGTTGCGTCCCTTGTGACGCCAGAATGCTATGATTGTGGGTTCGAATCTCAGTTCATCCCACTTATGTTTCTAAATTTGTCAGCACCGTACCGGCCCTCGTGGGTTTCACCAAAGGTAAACGTCTGAGACCTGCATCACTTCGGGCTTTCCTCCCACATCAAGCTGACACGCCGTGATATAACTGGAATAGTGGGCAAGGCGGCGTTAAACACAACTCACTCACTCACTACAGTGAATGCGACGTAATCATCGTCATAAAGAAGCTGTATGTTCATATTCACCATCTTCCTTCTTCATCATACAAACTTCTAAATGCCATTATGTATTATACATCATACATCATACATCATACTGATACCGCTATGTTTTCATCACATAAAACAAACCAAAATAATGCACTTTTGCAGTTTCTTATTTCATCCTATTTAATCAATACAATACAAAAACAAATCATAACAAATAAATTATCACAGGTACACACCAGTGACGTCGGTTTCCAATGAAATCCTAAAAATGTACATGCATACCAGCTTCTTTATATAGCCAAGCAAGCTGCAATGTTAGAGGTATCTGATGACTATCTGTTATCACTTTTAATGTGTGATCACATGGACCAGGAAACCAGGATATGTACGTCGTTATTAAATGAATACTCATTTATGATCAGCACTTAAATAACACGTAGATGAAAATTATTATATATAAAAATGAATGGCACCATTTATATCGATGTGTCTGGCATTGATGTTTGGACGCTAGGCGAGGGTGAGCTATGGTGTACTCAAAGGCCCATGACCAGCTTGGTCGCAATTATTGATTTACGTAAATTTGATATATTGTGTGATTGAGGTAATCATGAACTGATAGACTGATATATATCGGAGAAGCAGATAGAAATACATCTTCAATGGAATTGGCGTACAAGGAAGTCTGTGTTTCAACGTTATATGGATGTTGACATCGTCACGGCAATTCTCTTGATCTGAAATAAATTATATAATAAATATGACTTGTTATGATTCGATACAATAATACGGTTTATTGTATACTTGTGAAAGACTGGGTTTTCCGAAGTTGAGAAGAGGAATATTTATATGGCAGTAAAAATAACAATTGATATATCACTCCAGAGCACATAACACTCGGGCGGAACTTCGCTTCCAACAGCTCTATCGTAGATTTCAAGAATACGTTTTGTTTCCTTTTGTATATTATCAAATCCAAATGTATGATACAAAAAATTCCGCGACCAAACAATTTTTGTTAGTTTTGCTTATATTTTTTAAAGGTTTTGGAAACATGGAACTACCTTGTAAGTCGCAATTACAATGCTTGGTGAAACGTCGCTATGTGTTAGGTAGGGAGAATTTACGTTTCAAGGTTTTATATTTGTAATGAAATCATTTATTTTCAGGTAGACAACTACATAAAAGTATATAATAATAGGATATTCCATTTGCCTTGTGAAATATCATGTTTCTCTCATCTCGTGACGGGGGAAAGAAGATATTAGAAGCTATTATTTCCTTTCCACCGTCACTCGAGGAGAGAAACATGACATTTCACACGACACATGAAGTATTCTCTATTGCAATTATAAAAAATATAATTATTATAAATGGTATCACTTATATTCGCCCATCAAGCCTACTCTACCATGCATGGCGGATACGGGGCAGTGCTGCCTCCAGTACCCAAGTAAGATAACTTGGGCAGTGGTTGAATCATACATTCGCCACTATAACGGTTCTTGTGCAAACTCACTCGAAAGCGAATCCTATAGAGGGGGTCTAATCTTCCTGCCTGGTGTAATGATTGCAGCGTTCCATGATTCCTGAAATAAAACACAGGACATGAATATTTTACACCCAGGCAATTGTAATCTTCTATTGTATTGAGATTTATTGACAGAAGCTCGACAGAATCACACAAGTTTATTGTTGTATCCAACTCGCAGGCGGGAGACCGCATGGTCCTCTTTCCCAAAGTGATGACGTCCTTACACATATACTATTATCTTAACGGTATTGCGTAATAGCGCAACTCATCACAGCAATCACAAAATAAATAATCAACAACTTCAGACTCAGCGTGTGTGTCTCGTTAGTGTCAGCAATACATAATCTCCACACCCAATCAAACAGGTTCCACATTATAACCACGCTATCCTGGCATGGAATAGGTAAGCCATTAACATAATTCACTTACGTAATAACTGATAATAAATACTCACGACCTCCTCCAATGACAACACTTTGTCGGCACCACGATGTCGCTCAAACTTTTTGTGAAGCTTCCCTGAAAAGGTTTAAAGACAAAAATTATATGAGCCCTTACAAATACCGCGATTATACTCCTGGGTGCCGTTGTACAAAACAACCTTAGCTACGACTGTCGTAAGATCGCTTTGCACAACGGCACCAAGGCCAGTCTTAAATATTATACAAATAATTACTCTTGACGAGGTCCTTGTTTTCGCATATTGATCTCGTCAAGAGTAATTACTAGTTTTTTTTATACCAATATTCACTTTTAAGTTTATGAAGTCTATAAACCGTCCTCTAGTTCATTACAGTCACTAAGCTGCGAACCCTGAAACGTTCGTACCAGACGCCATCTTGTGTTCCAGCAGACGGGTCAATATTCATCATGTGACAGGTCAATACTGATCATGTGACGAGTCAGGTCAAGGTCAGTCACATGATTTCGGGGCCGACATTTAAATGTATTGTTTCGTCACGTGGTACTGATTAACCAATGGAATTGCAAGATTCTTAATGGAGGTACAACAAACTCGTGTTCTACGTCCCCCGTCCCGCCTCCGTCTCGTGCATCACTCTTGCTGTTCAGAGGGCAAATGGGCCACTGCACTGGTGGGTCAGAATTCGTGGAGCTAGGATGGGCCCATTACTAGAATTCTAAAATCAATGCCAAATGAGTTTAATGTTAAACACAGCCAACAACTATTTGATAATATTACAGTGAAGTACTTCTTCAATAAATGCCTAGACATATATACACAAAGGCAAAAATAACAGTTCATGTTCTAATATAATTTCGTTATTTTTTAGAACTGCAATCTTTTTCTTTGAATAGTGAAAATGTGTATTTATTATTATATTATTTATAAGATTGACGACACAGAATTTCTAATTTTGTTGTTGATATTTTGAAGTTCCAATTCAGCCGTATGTTTGGTATTCTCCATACACTGTATGATGAAATATCTGCACAGTAGCTAGGAAGTAAAAGACAATTTGAGATATTAAGTTCAATGACCCCAATGGGTTGTATAATGACATCAAGCTATCATGGTCTTTGTCTACAGGTAGGTAAACCTTGGGTGTACGTCAAAATCTGTAATACTGTGTGGTCAATAGTTACATTTTGTTTTTAACAGCTTTACTTTAAGGTTTGAATTTATTATTTATCAACACAATTAAAGGGTAACAAAAACTCAAACGATCTAAAAGTTTAAACATACGTATATGGTTTGGAGCTATTGTATATCCTGAACAGGTCATTGCTATAAATACATCTAACTGTTTTAAAACAGAACATCTATGTTTTACTCGTCTATATCAAAATGTGTCATTTCAGACTGGTGAGTATAATGGGTCTCAGATTGTCAGTTATATCACGGCGTGTCAGATTGATGTGGGAGGAAAGCCCGAAGTGATGCAGGTCTTAGACGTTTACCACTTTGGTGAAACCCACGAGTATTGGTATGTTGCTGACAAACATAGAAACGTCATCCTGGTCCGTCGGGATTGGAATCACGATGACAGGATTCTGGAACGCCTATTTGACGCAACTCTGGACTGCGAATGGCTTCCATGGCTAGGCCATCCATACCCCAACCTGGACAAGAAAATCTGAACCGACTTCAGACATATCTTACTTTTAGGGGCCTTTGGTCGACTGAAATAAAAAAAGCAACAATTAACCGCTCATCAGTGATATTAAATAGGAACTCAGCAAATTAATAGTTGCAATCCTATAATGTCCCTTTCGCTACTAGTTTCAGGTCCCAACAAAACGATGTGGTAGCTCGAAGCCAGCGTCAGACTGATAATGGTTTGTCTTCACAATCACATTAATCAATTGAATTAACAAATGTACAACATAGCAGTTCAAAACCCAAAGTTTTCTGATAAATCTTTTCAATTAACAACCATACGTCACCAGACAGTAAGCTACATTTAGCTACAATTAGCGACATTAAGCCAAATGAGACAACGTTACAATAAGATAAAGCTAAACTAAATAAATAAGACATAGTAAGATAAAGCTACACAATAAGATAACGCTACAATAAGCTACGATAAGATACAAAAAGATATAGTTACTGTAACAATTAGCTACAATAAGATACGGCTACTGTAACAATTAGCTACAATAAGATATGGTTGCATCGGATCCTCAAACGGTTAAGGGAGACAACTCTACACAACGATTTCGATCGGACATGGTAGAGGGCAATGTACTGTATTACTGTCGGTGTCTCTATACTTACCAAGCTTGCCTGGCATGTATGGCTACCCCTGCCAGCATCGCCGCCGACGTCGCCATGAGAAACGCCCTCAATACCCACGTCTCCATGTCCACGTCATTGGACGGATCTGTGTAAACTGAAACAGCAACAGCAAATACAAATCTGTTGCTGATCACGTAGTTTTACTACTACTCTGCATCTGATGCTACTTAACTACGATTTATCCGACCTCCAAGAATTACCGTTAAGATCCGGGTTAGAGTTCGGTCTTCAGCTTCCCATGCTTACTGTAAGGACGAATAACGGGATCGGGGAGTCAGTCTCGCTGACTTGGTTGATAAATGTTATCGTATCCCAGTTGCGTTTATCAGCCCTCATGATGTCAATCTCAGGATTATCTGATCCAGACTGATCCATTATTTACAGACCGCCATCACGTAGCTGGAAGGTACCAATCCAATGCATCTTCCCGAGGCAGAGAGTTAACTGACTTTAAAAGTCCAGTTTCCACCCTTGCCGAACTAGGCTGGAATTCCTGGGCTCGATCGTGGCGCCACCAGTAGTTATTATGAGTTATGTCCCTTCTGAGCCTCTCCTATGGACCGATTCCATCACTTGTATTTATTTCAAACAAAATGGCGGCGCCCAGTCACGACGATCTTATCAATAATCAAGGCCTATATTGTGATAAAACGGGTCTTACATCGCAAAGTGCATCAAATCAAGCGAGTATCTTGATTAAAAACTTGGAAAGGTTTGGAAAATATCTGTTGACAACGAATTGGCGGTGCAGATGCTTTGCAAATCCTGTAATCGACCGAAATCTACATGGCAGTTTACGAACCGGATTTCGATTTCGTTGCGAGATTTTGATTGGACAATGCATTGACTCGCTAGTCCAGCCAAAATGTAACTCAATAATACCAGCCTAGTTCGGCAAGGGTGGAAAATGGACTTTTACAGTCAGTTAACTCTCTTGCCTCGGGAACATAGTTCCAATGTTGCGTTATTCATTTTGGCAACTCGACTGGTCTGTTTGTTTTGATTTGTCCCTGCAGTCAACTATATTCAAATCAGCCTTGAAATTATTGGATCCTGGACATAAAAAAGCTTGTTAATATTACGAACAACGTCTAACGCCGCCGGGGTACGATGACACGAACACTACCAATTGTAACGCGGAATCCCCGCGGACTTTCTGTGCAACAGTAGCCGTACCTGGCTTGTTTCCGTCAATGTTGATTGTGACAGTGCCAGTGGTAGAGCGAGGAGTGCCACCAGCATCAGCAGCAGCGATGACGACTTCGTAGTAGGCCACGCCACCCGCCTCTGTGTCAGCAACCAGCTGTGACGACGTGTACAACCTACCCACGCCGTCACTCTCTCGCATCGTGAACACACCATCTGCCAGGCTACCGTCACCTTGTAATACAAACATACACGTCGTGAACAGACCATCCGCCAGGCTACCGTCACGTTGTAATACAAACATACACGTCGTGAACACGCCATCCACCTGGCTACCGTCACCTTGTATTACAAACATACACGCCGTGAACACACCAATACAAACATACACGTCGTGAACATACCATCAACCAGGCTACCGTCACCTTGTAATACAAACATACACGTCGTGAACACAACATCCACCTGGCTACCGTCACCTTGTATTACAAACATACACGTCGTGAACACACCAATACAAACATACACGTCGTGAACACACCATCAACCAGGCTACCGTCACCTTGTAATACAAACATACACGTCGTGAACACGCCATCCACCTGGCTACCGTCACCTTGAAATACAAACATACACGTCGTGAACACGCCATCAACCAGGCTACCGTCACCTTGTATTACAAACATACACGCCGTGAACATACCATCCACCTGGCTACCGTCACCTTGTAATACAAACATACACGTCGTGAACACACCATCCACCTGGCTACCGTCACCTTGTATTACAAACATACACGTCGTGAACAACCATCAACCAGGCTACCGTCACCTTGTATTACAAACATACACGTCGTGAACACACCATCCACCTGGCTACCGTCACCTTGTAATACAAACATACACGTCGTGAACACACCAATACAAACATACACGCCGTGAACACACCAATACAAACATACACGTCGTGAACACACCATCCACCAGGCTACCGTCACCTTGTCATACAAACATACACGTCGTGAACACACCATCCACCAGGCTACCGTCTCCTTGTAATACAAACATACACGCCGTGAACACACCATCCACCAGGCTACCGTCACCTTGTATTACAAACATACACGTAGTGAACACACCGTCCACCAGGCTACCGTCTCCTTGTAATACAAACATACACGTCGTGAACACACCAATACAAACATACACGCCGTGAACACACCAATACAAACATACACGTCGTGAACACACCATCCACCAGGCTACCGTCACCTTGTCATACAAACATACACGTCGTCAACACACCATCCACCAGGCTACCGTCTCCTTGTAATACAAACATACACGTCGTGAACACACCATCCACCAGGCTACCGTCACCTTGTAATACAAACATACACGTCGTGAACACACCAATACAAACATACACGTCGTGAACACACCAATACAAACATACACGTCGTGAACACACCATCCACCAGGCTACCGTCACCTTGTCATACAAACATACACGTCGTGAACACACCATCAACCAGGCTACCGTCACCTTGTAATACAAACATACACGTCGTGAACACACCATCCACCAGGCTACCGTCGCCTTGTAATACAAACATACACGTCGTGGACACACCGTCCACCAGGCTAACGTCACCTTGTAATACAAACATACACGTCGTGAACACACCATCCGCCAGGCTACCGTCACCTTGTAATACAAACATACACGTCGTGAACACACCAATACAAACATACACGTCGTGAACACACCAATACAAACATACACGTCGTGAACACACCATCAACCAGTCTACCGTCGCCTTGTAATACAAACATACACGTCGTGAACACACCGTCAACCAGGCTAACGTCACCTTGTAATACAAACATACACGTCATAACACAACCGTGATCGTGGAAAACAGACATTCGGCACAGAAAATGTGCATTAACTGTGTATGTAAGCGAAGACGATGATATTTAATAAGCGATTTTAAAAATCTGACATCGAAAGTCTCTTCGGCGTAACATAGACGGGACATAGAGAAGACACTTCTTCATTGCGCACGTGGTGAAACCAAAAACTGTACGACTGAACCAGTCATTTGTGGATATAATGTGGTAATCTAAGCATTGACCCCCAGTTCATTACAAGGCTTGACATCGTAGTCCTGCAGAAGGGGTGTTACTCTGTGGAAAGACGTTAAAAATGGTGCTTGTTGTTACCTTGCCTGGCGTTCGGCATTAAGGGGCTAAAACAAGGACTGGTCGGCTCAGAGTCAGTATACTCTGTCTGAGAGGGGTATCCATGTTAAACTTCGGCATGGAATCAGACACAGACACGTCAGTCACACGGAAGTCAGGTAGCCAAGTGGTTTAAAACTGCCGCTCGCCGCGTCGAAGAACCAAGTTCTATCCCCAGTCAAACGCATTTATGGTGTCATACACTCCCCAAGTGATTACGCTAGGGTGTTACTAAAATCGGCATTTAATCAAAACCATACAAATTCATTCACTATCGGCGATTGATTTCGGCGTACCGTCTCCAACATTCATCACACTTTGAACGCTGCAATGCAGCTTTGAAACAGCAAAATCAAATCGTCAAATATCCAACAGTGACTAATGGTATGACCCGATTTCTGTCAGCAATGAATTGTATTACGATTTGTCTGGTGAAAATGTTATATATCTTAATGTTGAAGATTCGCCACATGCCTATTTCTGGTGTCCCTTCCCACTCCGCTGGTTGTGAAATTGTAAAAAATGACGTAAAACAACTCACTCACAAACACACAGGGTCAAGGACACTGAGAAATATAATTCTTGCACATCATTAACTGACGCATGTTTAGGTTGTTTACGATTGACAAACCTACTCGATGTAATTGACCGTATGTCGAAGACTATCCTTCCATCCTCCCCATCATCTCCATCCTCCGCGCTGAAGTTAGCCACCAAGGAACCAAAGGGTAACTCCATCACCGTCACGTTGGGGAAGACGCCGTTGACGTCAACAACGGGGTCTGACCACTCAGGCGTGAACTCATTGCTTGGCGCCACCTAAATGGCCACATATATCGCTTTAAGTTTGTGGTACACATGTTTAATATTTAAGTGCGAGTGCTAATGAAATTTTCAATATGGCTGTTACGGCGGCCATCTTATCGGAATTCCGCGTGCAAAATTTTGGGACACCATAACCATGATCATACGTCATCTTGCAGCTTCCCGTTTCTATACTTTACTGTAGTAGAAGACTTGCTTATTGCAGATACAAATAATCTATCGAAGATTAACTAGACGATGTATTAAAACTTTAAGACTTGGAACAAATTTACAGACTTACATAAGCCGTGATTAAGCATTTAATTTCAACGTTTGACTTCACAAATTTTATATTATTTAATTAATCACATTAAGGATTCATGTAATATGAAATACTGTCTAAGCTGTCACAAGACGTTTGACAAATGTCTCTTTTTTGTGCGAGTGATCATTGTTACCGTCACGGTGACCAATGTCGATCCTGTCAACGCTTGTCCCTCGACCGGTGTGTCTATGGCGACCACCGTCAAAACATGCTTGTAGTCGGAACTGGCTAGTGTTTCATAGTCGATGTTGGAAGGGTTGGCGAAAAGTGTTGTCCCCGTGATGTTGTACATGCTGCCGACGTTGTTGGGTGATAAGATGATGATGGTGTACTCTCCGTTGACACCCGCGTCCTCATCCGTAACGATAAAGTCAAACAGGGCCTGACCTAAAGATGGATTTAGAAACGATTGTCCTCAAATCTTCAGATAAATTATATATTTTAATAAATACATACACATATGAGTTGTGTTTTGCATCTCCCCGCCCCCTCCCCAACACCACCCCCCCCAAAAAAAACAACAAAAAAACAAACAAAACAAACAACAACAACAAAACAACAACCCAAAACAAAAAAAACTAAACAAAAGAAAACAAAAACAAAAAAACCCACAAAACAACAACAACAACAAAACAACACGCACAAATAAAACAAAACAAATCCAACTAAATTTCCGGGCAAAAGAAAGTATATATCCATGTTTGATATATAGTGACTGGGTTGAAACAAACAAGTCGTTCGATGGTTATGTATTTCATACGCCTATTTTTGGTGTTCGCAGTGCCTCAGAGTCTGCTTTAAGCCTGGTAACGTTCTGTTAACGTTTGTAATTTGTTGGTCAAATCCAGTTCCACAAATACAATTATAACCAAGGTTATTAAATAAATACATATATGTAAAGCAACGTTTGTCAAACAAATAATGATGTTTCCAGCAACCCCAATGATCCATTATTTTAATTGTGACTCTTTTATAAGAGATGAAAATTAAGAACAAATTTAAAGTATTTACCTACTGACCAGTCTACTTAAGGCCTAATACCTGAGGAGCGCTATTTTACCTGCAACTCCCCTAATGGTTTTAAAGAGAGAATTCGTGTTTCTCTTCAACGTATTTTACTTTTCCAGATGCCACTATTTATACAAAATGTATAAGTACTCGTGACATATACAGACCATCCATGCCACCTTCTGTAACAGATGCAGTGTATGACGGAGTGGCAAACTGTGGCGCGTTGTCGTTTATATCCCAGACGGTAAACCGGAGATCAGCGTTGGTTGATTGTCCCCCTTGATCTGTCACGGTCAAGGTCACGTCTTCAAGCACAGTCATGCCGCTTTCGTAATCGATGGACTTGTTAATAGATAACGTTCCCGTGTCTTCATGTACGGACAGCATGTGTGCATTAGTACCTGGCCAAGGGAATCAAATCCTATAATAATATAATAATTTTATTTAAAAAATGTTTCTTTTTCATGACTATGGCCTTTGAAAGAGGTTTGTATAGTTCCGTGTTATGATTGGTTCCAGCAAACTACATGAATGCTGGTGGTAAAAGACGACTAAACTGTGACGAAAATCATAATCTGGCCAGGCTCGGTGATTTGGGTGACGTGTCAAGTCACTCGACGGGGTGGATCCTTGATCATAATATATATATCTCTGGTCAACAACAACAAGACACGAGCACTTCCAATAAATTAGTTTTAAAGTAATATAAATAAAATTGATTACTCGTATTGTTCTGAACATTTTGATTAGACCTACCGGAAAGGGTGTACTGAAAAACGTCTCCGAGGTCAGCGTCGTCGATAGTGAAGACGTCTCCAAGGACGGTGCCAATTAGCTGCCCCTCTGGTATAGAGTAACTCGACGCCGTAATGGAGGGCTGCTCATCCATGATGTTCCCGACGTTCACGATGAATGAAACGTAGGTGGTGTGAATGCCGTCACTGGCGCTGTGAAAGATGCGTTATTGTGTTTTACGTCATGGTCAGACATGTTTAATCGATTCATGTTCGTTACCTGGTTTTGGTCACCGTGGTTGTTTTTCAGATACATCGATTAAAAAAGAGCTTTTTTAGTGGATGGGTTAATGTAGTGTAACTACGCATCAATATATACTACTCAGCATTTGGTAGGGATAATCAGATGTGTCATTCTAAGTATATATACTCGTGACATAATATGGGGGCGGTGGGATAGCCTAGTGGTTAAAGCGTTCGCTCGTCAAGCCGAAGAGCCGGGTCAATTCCCCACATGGGTACAATGTGTAAAGCCCATTTCTGGTGTCCCCCGCCGTGATATTACTGGAATATTGCTAAAAGCGGCGTAAAACCATACTCACTCAATCGCTCATTTGACATAATATGAGAATCACTTCTGTGTATCACGGATAGAAAAAAAACATCCCTATCAAAAGTTGAGTGGTATATGTTTTACCTACCTAATGATAGTGGAATGATATCTGCGAGTCTCAAAGTCTAATGTCTTCAGTATAAAAACCTCATCTCCTCGAACCACGAAAAGGTCACTGGTTTCTTCTAACGCGAACGTCATCGTGTCTCCATCAGGGTCAGTCGCGGCTAACGTGAAGATGGCGGAATCGGCGGTGACGTTTTCATACACCAACGTCTGGTATTTCGTATCTGAGAACTCTGGCGCCATATCGTTCACGTTGTTCACGAAGACTTTAATGGAGGCAGTCACGTCTTTTGGAGGGGTGCCGAGGTCTACAGCACGGAGTGCAATGTCATAGCGGGTGATGCCTCCTTCTGCATCAAGACCCGACTTGACTTGAAGGTCGCCGGTGTCGTACCCAATGACAAATGTTCCCAGAGCGTCGGACCCGTCATCTTGGACAAAAATATATTAACTACTGAAATGTTTCTTTTCATAAGGACATATTTTAAGCTGATAATTACATATTTTACCCTTTTGGATATCCCTGAAAGGCGTGATTATATCAATAGAATAGCTTAAATCTAAGAGTTGACATATTACCGTTTGTTTTGTTAGTTTGATGTTTAACACCGCAATCAAGCTATATGACGGCGGCGTGTAAATATTCGTTTCTGGGCCAGTGAACCGATGATTGATATTATCATACGTTGTCGGCATATGATAAAACACACTTAGCAAAATATAAGTCCGCGAGCCTGACCAGCCGATACATACAGGATAGGTTACTTGAAATTCAAAATAATTTGTTTCTCGAAAATTGTTTAAAATATTATTTTGGCCTCAGGTACAACGTACAACAAAAATGGGTATATGGTCGTTGGAAATTATGGATATCCTGAAACAAATGTGTTGTGAAAAGAAATATTCGGCTTCTCCTTCCATAGAAAAATAAATAAGTGTTCTGTCCGTAAAAAAGAGTCAAAGACAACGGTACCACGTTATTTTTAAATGGGCGGTTCCTCAGAGGTTTGGCAACAACGTAGTTTGGCAACCATGTAGTCTTCAGATTGGAAGTTATACGATAGTTGAGGTATCTATGTATTAACTTTTCAGATTGCAATAGTAGGCAATAAGAAATTGTTCAAGAAATGATTATACCATAACTACTCTCAAACGTAATAACGAAGGCACATATGGCCCAGTCGTCTAAGGTGCCGCAATTCGTTGTGCAGAGTTGGGCACGCCAGAAACCTATGATTGTCGGTTCGAGGTTTGTCAGCACCATACCCTGCTCGTGGGTTTCACCGAAGTGGTAAACGTCTAAGACCTACATCACTTCGGGCTTTCCTTCCACATTAAGCTGACACGCCGCGATATAACTGGAATAATGTTAAAAGCGGCGTTAAACTCAACTCACTCACTCATAAGTAATTACATACCAACTGTAATTGAAGTAATCTCATAAACAACAACTCCGTCGTCGGCCTGGTCGTCATCTGTCGCCGTCACTGTCGTTATTGCCGTCCCCGGAGCAGCGTCCTCGTCCACTGTGACATCATTTAGGTAGCCATTGACGTCAGGTACCGGGTCACTCCATATCGGGTCGAACTCGTTCTCTGGTTTGACCGTCACCTTCACTATCGCTGTCCCCGTGTTGGCCTCCCCCTGGTCTGGTGTGTCCACTGCTGTGATGACCAGGGTGTACATGTAGTCATTGTCCTTCAACGACTCGTAGTCGAGCGTGTAGCTGTTTGTCAACAGCTGCTTTCCTGACATCTTGAATTTGGGGTCTGTGTCATCCCCGCTGCCTATGGACACGGTGAAGATGGCGTTGTTACCGTCGTCGTCGTCAGTGCACGTCAGGTCAAGGAGGACGACATCTGTTAAACAGCAAACAAGAAAAAGATGAAAATACATAATGAGGTCTTCAAATTTAAAAGATGTTTATTCGAACATGAAAACAAAAACGTTACATGATAGTCGGGTAATTAAGTCTACAGTGTAGTCGTTCTTACAAAATGTTGACTTTGACACTAGGTCAACCATGGCTATGTAAACATTCTGTCAATAAAATCAAAAAAGTAATATAGCCCTGTCGACACACATATACATTCGCGCGTTGAAACGTGTCCCCTCCGAAAGACAACAGCAACAAATTTTAACAACGAAACAAAACAATTTAAACAAGGTACAACAACTACACATAAAAAAGACCCGATAATCAATAAAAATCAAATAATAAATAAAAAAGACTACATAGAGTACCACAATATTTACATGTTTCCCTGCCAACCCGACATACCCCCGGCCACTCCCAACCCCCGAACGTAAATTCTCCATTCTCCATACCCGTCAGTCCTTCACACACCCGAACCCGTCCAATACTGTCGCAGTTCAACCCCAACTCCGTTCGTTCTGAAGACAGTAATACACATGAAGCGTGAAGATCCGGGTTAGAATAGGTCTTCAGCAACCCATTCTTGTCGCAAGAGCGAGTATGCTTGTCGTAAGAGGCGAATACGGGATCGGGTGGTCAGGCTCACTGACTTGTTTGATCCATGTCATCGTATCCAAGTTGCGTGGATCGATGCTCATGATGTCAATCATTGGATTGTCTGGTCCAGACTCGATTATTTACAGACCGCCATCATATAGCTGGAATATTACTGAGTGCGGCGTTAAACAACAAACAAACAAACACACATGTTCTATGAGTTGCGCAAACCTTCTGCGGTGTTTTCAGTGACTTCCGTTATGAAGACCGCTGGGTCGCACTTCGGGGGAAGATCGTTGATGTCCTCAACTGTGATGGTGAAGTCCTGGGTGGCCTTGAGTCCAGCCTGGTCAGTGACGGTCAGTGTGAGGGACAGCTCAGTTTTCCCACTAGGCCCTTCCCTGTCCACGTTCTGGTCAACCGACAGCTCGCCAGTGGTCGGGTCTATGGCCAAGTAGCCACTGTCCACACCTGCAGCAAACAGGGGAGAAAGTCGAGCTCGGAGAGTAAAATACTATACCAACAAGTTACAACTGTTTGTCACAGTGAGTCAACGAGTACTTAGCAATATACTTTAACGTCGCAATCAGCTAAATTGCAGCTTTATCACGACGGCGAGTATCGTCAGTTTCGAAAAAAACATTAGTTACTGGAGATGTATTCTGACCAGTGTCGGTAGGGTAGCCTAGTGGTCGTCACGCCGGAAACCCGGGTTCGATTCCCCACATGGGTACAATGTATGAGGCCCATTTCTGGCGTCCCCGCTATTATATTGGAATATTGCTAAAAGCGGCGTTAAACCATACTCACTCACTCTGACCAGGAATCCTAACAGTGTCTGCCAAAATCATCAATCGTACCGCTATATCACACCACAGAAGCATCTAACATTTGGACAATTGCTTATAACACACACTCACTGTCTCTCCTTGAATTTATTTCATCGTCACTCATTTTACATGTCACTTTAGTCCAAGGGGGGTTATGAAAGAGGTAAAAATATACGTTTTTTGGACACCCTTAATTTCTATTTCTACATACACGCGTAACATCAAACATAATGTGCCAGGGTGATTCCTGGTTAGAAGAGGGACCTAGCAGTCTGGAATATTACTGATAGCGGCGTTAATCAACCAACCAACCAACCAACCAACCAACAAACAAACAAACATATTAGTGTGTTTCATGACAGCCTATTCGCAAGTCATTAAAAGGGAAAACGTTGCGATAATATACAAGTAAAACAAAGGAGACAAACAATACTGGTTTTGAATTAACTAGATCCCACTTGCTGGGATTGCTTGACTGCTCAAAAGGTCCGAGTCTAGCTTCCTTATAAGACAAAACGATCTTTACTCAATACGGACATCGATTGTATGGAGGATGAGTACTTGAGAGTTGCCTGTATTCCTCAGTTCGGGGGGACTCACCACTGAGGGAGTATGTAAGCGTGTCACCAGCATCAGCATCCCTGGCGCTCAACCCGCCATACACCCCTGTTCTCATGACCTGGCCTTCCGCCATCGACGCTGTCCCTTCTACCGTTATCACTGGCGCTTCGTCTAAGACGTCATTGACGCTGACGTGGATGGTGAAGTCCGTAGTGAATGTGCCATCTGACGCTCTGAGGGCACCAAAATAACGATATGTTGATATAGGTGTGTTTCAGTATTTCTTTATATTTGTTTTGAAATACCGTTATGAACATATTCTGAATTTGTTTCGAAGTTACGTTGCGAATAAATATGATTTTAAGATAATAATCAGCACTTTTATTGATATCTTGAACTTTGTCAACATGTTGACATTACTTGAGTGATTTTAGAAATGAATACATTAGATTGGTATTGATAACGTGACATCATGTCAACTATAGCGCAGGTATGAAAAAAGCTAAATATTAATATTTGAACGTTAATACCATATACGATCGAATTTATGATTAAATCTCAAACAAAAGCATTAAAACACGACTGTGTTGTATTTAAAAGTGTTTCAAAGTATCGTAATACACCCTAGAACGATACTCACGAAATTTTCAAGTTGACACTTAATATGCAAATAAGTCAAGGGTTATATTTTTTATAAAAGTTGCGAAATATTGATTACTGATTACATGTACGTAGGCTGAATTGATTGGTGATTGATCCCAAGATTAAGTAAAGGGAATTAACGAAAACAAGGACACTGGAACCAAAATCACCTAATTACCAATACTTTTGATAACAACCTGTGTCCTGTCTGTCTGTGCGTGAATGAAAAGATTATGAACGTTGATAGTTAAACATGACCAACATCACTCACCGTATGACTAAGATATGAATATCTTCCGTCTCGAAATCCAGAGTGGCCTTGACCTTGACGTCATATCCGTCACACATGAACAGATCATCCCGTCCACTGGCAATGGACAACGTCACAGTGTCACCATCGTGGTCAACAACGACCATAGACATCACGACGACGCCTACAGCGACGTCTTCATCGACGGCTGTTTCGTAATCCGTCTGGTCAAACACAGGTGCGATGTCGTTGACATTCTCTAGTGATACAGTTATTGTTCCCTGTGTCTCGCGCAGTGTTTGTCCATTGTCCGAAGCCTTGACCACAACAGTGTAGCTGGGCTCCCCTCCAGTAACGGAATCCACGTCGAGCTTGCCTGCCACCAGCAGACCCCCTGTCGCTGCATCTATCGAGAATCTATCAGCTCCATCTGCTCCAGATGCTACAGAAAGATAATAATGAGTGAGTGAGTTGGGTTCACCGCTGCTGTGTTAACAACAAGTTAGTTAAACTGAATGGGGGCAGGTCGTACGCAATTAGCGACCGATTGTATGTGAACCACCCGAGGTCAAATTTCTTTTCTAAGAACTTTCAGAAATTGACATTTTAAACGCGACGGGAACGGGATCATAATAGGTGTAAATATGGGATTCGATCCAAAGAAAACTAGATCATGGAATGGCCAAGGAACGCAATAATTTCGTTGTCGCATACGATGAGAATCGGGTGTTACAAAATGCAATAACGACGTATTCGTTGTTTATGCTATCAACCATTTGCCACGACACTGACACAGACTCGCTATACAGACCGTCGTGTTGAAGTTGAAATATTGGTGAGTGCCGCGTGAAATATTCTTTCTGACACACCTGAGGGTGAGAAACCCATTTGAGATAACTGGTATCAAATTGGTGTGTGAGATCGAAACCCAGGTCCGTAGTTAGTTACTCCATTGTGATGACCTTCCGATAATGACAGGCTACGTTCTTGATTGTAATTCATTGCTACGTTTCTCGTGTTCTGTCGGAATTACCTACGTCTTTGTCGAAATGTAATGGTTTTATATTGTTTAATACATAATATTGTAATATATAATGGTAACCAGCAAACACTATCTATGTCCCTAGGGTATATAAAAATTATACAGTGAAGGTCATGCAGTCAAATTTTACGAAAAATCAACTTACCTGCCGTGACAGACACAATACTGTATGCAACATCCCCATCAACTCCGAGATCGTCATCAACAGCAATGAAAGTCACTGCGACATCACCAGGAGCTAGATCCTCTCTCACAGAGATGGCGGTAAATGTTCCACTTCCATCTGAGGCAGGTCCTGTCCACACAGGGTCGAACTCGTTCTCTGGTTTGACCGTCACCTTCACTATCGCTGTCCCCGTGTTGGCCTCCCCCTGGTCTGGTGTGTCCACTGCTGTGATGACCAGGGTGTACATATAGCCTGATGCTTCTAGACTATCGTAGTCAAGGTTACCATCTGTCTGAAGCTGCTGACCAGACATTTTGAACTTTGGCTGAGAATCGTCGCCATCTCCAACACCCACGACAAAAACAGCGTTGTTGCCAGAGTCACCATCAGTGCAGAGAAAGTCCAAGAGGGAAGTTCCTGGAAAAACCAGGCAACGACATTAAACGGCAAACCAGTAAAACATTCCACTTCTACATATTGTGGGCCTCTCCACATATTAACTTACATACCCAATTTGTACTACAAGTACCCTACATCATACAGAGGTCACTTCAGACTATACGCTTGGAGTCTTGGCTTAATACGAGGGCTGGTCAAAACGTTCTAAACCTGACTAACTTTCAACTATAGGCCATAACAAAGTGAACCAGTCAATGTAGTACATTGTTTAAGTTGTTCATTGCAACGATGACCTCAAAGCTGCCGTGAATGGGTTTTTCAGGGTGGCTTCAGAAAACTTCTTCCTGACTGGAATTGAAAAGCTTCACTATCGACATGAGAAGAGTATTGAAAAGTAGGGAGAATATGTTGACAAATACAATTAAAAACACTTTCACAATTGTTGGTTTTGTTTGTTAGGCTTAGAACTTTTTGACCAGCTGGGTAACACTTTCTTCATGCTTGGCGTGATTGAACGGGAACAGGTATAAACTCGTCGTAATTTGGATTCAGTTTGTAAAAGTGATACAGTACATGTTTTCACCTCTGCCATTAATTTGAGTTATAATTTCTTGTTTTACCTTCTATTTATGTGAATACGTTTCAGGGCGCTTTCATAGGCTATTGTTTACCAGTGGAGTGAGCGAGCGAGCGAGTTGGGTTTAACGCCGATTTGAAGAGTATTCCAGTTATATCGCGGCGTGTCAGCTTCACGTGGGAGGAAAGCCTGAAGTGATGTAGGTCTCAGACGTTTACCACTTTGGAGAAAACCCACAAACACGGGTTTGCTGCTGACAAACCTATAAACATAGTCGGGACGAAACCCACAATCAAAGGGGCCATGCGAATAAACTTTACCGGCAGCAGTATTTTCGGTGACTTCAATACTGTATTCCGCTGGGTCAAACACAGGGGCAAGGTCATTGACGTCAACTATTGTGACAGTAAAATCTTTTGTGTCCTGGAGTCCGGCTTGGTCCGTGACGGTCAGTGTCAGCCCGGTCAGCTCCGTGACGCCACTGGCCCCGTCTCTGTCGATATGCTCCGCCACAGATAGGTCGCCGGTGCCCGCGTCGATACTCAGGTAGTGACTGTGTGCACCTGCAGAAGAGACAAATACATATAAAGACATGTAGACAGCTACGCGATAAAGAACAATGAAAAACGAAGCGTGGTTTATTTCAGAAATAAATGACGAGTGGGAGTTGTTTATGGAACAATGAAACACTGCAGGGAGAATAAACCATGAGGGGCGCAATAAACCACACTTCGATCTTCATTGTTCTGTGCGATTTATCGTGTAGTTATCTCATATTTCACGATAAAACATTGTTCTAGCATGTCGTCATTTCTGGTGATTCGGGTATGCGCTCGCAACTTCATGACGTCATATAGTGGACAACGTGAATTATGAGAGGGAAGTGTCTAGTAAGTTGCTCCCCATACATGTACCTAGACTACGCAGATAAATGAAGTGGCATCCGAAAGTAAGATAGATATGACAATCAGCATTAGGAGAAAAGGAACAGATAATCGACGTGCGGATTGTGAGAACGCGTGAGAAATACCGAACTTCACCCACCTGTTTTATTCAGGGAGTCATCGTTATTAACTTTTGATAAATATGTTTAAAGCTCGTAATTTTCTTAACATCCTTAAAAAGGCTGTGCATAATGTTGAAACGTGAATTATGTGATGTCACGTGAATTATTGGCCTGGATTGTTTTTGAAAGCCTGAGATCTTAGCGTTACACAGTTAAAGTGTACAGTTCTATATCGATGGGTGAAGTTATTACGATGAAGCCCAAAGTGTGGTAGGAGTGAGTGGACCCTGCTTTCAACAGTAATTCAGTTATTTTACTGCGTGTCAGCTTGATGGTGGAGAAAAACCCGAGGACTTAGACGTTTACCACTTTGTGAAACCCTCAATAATGGGTATATTGCTGACAAATCTAGAAACGTAAGTGAATCTGCGATTCCAACCTAGGTCACAGCGAAAAGCGCTGCTTAAGAGACTCCCCCTCCCCAAAGCCTTAAAGTAATTGCTATACAGCGCCTTCGAATAATTCAAATAACTCGTAGTTAAACATCCCAAATAACTACAACTTTCAATGTTTAAATGTATATTTTTATCAACTACTTTGTTGCAACATGGAGCCGAGTGGCTGGGTTCCCTTTTCGCGAGGCAAGGAAGTTAACTGTTTTTAGAAGTCCAGTTTCCAGTTAACTCCCTTGCCTTGGAAAAGATGTAGAGTTGCGTCCCTTGCCCGGGCTTTTTGTAATCCCCACAGGCTCATTCAGAATAACACATGTGCACTCTTATCTCCTCGGACGATTATACCTGTTAATGCATATATGTGCACATCCTGTTCATCGGGATCGGTGAGGTGAAACCCCCCGTTCACTCCTGTGGTTATAGCTTGTCCCTCGGACATGGCGCCTGTTGTTGCTATGGTGATGACCGGAGCTTCGTCTATCACGTCCAGCACCGTAACATGCAGTGAGACTCGGGATTCAAACGTACCATCAGTCGCCCTGAAACAGAAATAGAAACTATTTCAGCTCAGGATATCAATACCCAAGCGAACTCCTCGCTGTGCGTTTATATACCAAACGACAAAGAAGCTAGCCTGGAATACCCGTGGACACGGTTATGCTGATGTAGATAGAAACATATCCTTAGGAGGAGACGCTTAAAGAGATTATTTCGTAGTTTTATTGATAACTAAAAAAATAGAAAGAGCATCATTTTGAAGTAGGATGTAACGTATAACATTTACTTTTAAGTATATGAGCCATTTAATTATTGATATTTGTATATACTTGTAATTATAATAATTATAATTGTGTTATTATCTTAAGTAGAAGTGAGCCAGTTCGACTCTAACTGTTGTGTGTGATCTTATGCTGGTTTAAAGTGGAAAGTGCTTGCCTCGATACGAATTTGTCTTACACCTTACGGGAAAATAAAAGAAGGAAATATAAATTTTCCTTAGTGTCACAGTGTGGGGGTTTGGAGGTGGGGAGTGTGGTCGGGGGATTTAGCTTTGTCCAGAAACAGTATAAACAGATATTCTCGTGGGTTATCAGCTTCTAACTCATTAGAACTGTCACCACCAACATACTCGTGCGCGACGCTTTCGCCAAACTACGTTGATAACCCTCCTTCTTTCGTTTGATGTCGTCAAACCATTGATTAAAGCAGGGTTGAATACGTATTGACTTGAAATATTCTTAAATATTAGTTACTTACTTGATGTACAGCAGGTGACTCTGGGTGGATTCGTAGTCCAGGAGGGCATCCTTAACCTCTACGTCATTTCCATCAATCTTAAATAGGTCATTCCTACCCGATATAATTGAAAGCGTCGGCGAATCGCCATCAAAATCTTCAGTGTTAATGGTTATGACGACTGTGTCCACAACGCTGTCTTCACTGAGGTCTGCCTGATACTCTGTCTGATCAAACACAGGAGCGTTGTCATTAACGTTGTCCAGAGAGACGGTGATGGTTCCTTCTACAGAGCGTGCCGTGGCTCCGTTGTCCGATGCCTTCACTACAATGGTGTAACTCGCCTCGCCGTTTGTTCCTGAGTCAACGTCTAAGTCATCAGCTACAATGAGTTCTCCTGTGTGGGGATTTATGATGAAGTTGTCCGAAACCAATGCACCTGAAGCTACAGGAGGAATATACTCAGCGTCAATAATGAGTAAAGATAATTTGAGATAGATGTGTTCAACTTCATTTTTAACTTCAAAGAGTGAAGTGCAGTTGCATTTGGAATGAACTATTTCATACCCCCATTGGCTGTAATGTATCATGTATAATGTATCAAGTATTGCAAGAGCATAGGCTACACCACGGATTTCCGCACTGCACAATTCTCCGGTTATAATGCATTGGTATTTTCAGTTCGGAATTCCGCAGTGCAAAATTCTCCGGTCAAATGCCATGGTATTCTCCGAAAGGATTTCCGCAGTGCAAAATTCTCTGGTTATAATGCATTGGTATTTTCAGTACGGATTTCCGCAGTGCAAAATTCTCAGGTTATAATGCCAATCACAATGTTTTTCAGACTAAACGTTCCAATTCCCTGGTTCTAATGCCTTTTGTTTTTTAATTTTGACAAAAAATTGCAATGCAGTTAGTCGTTTGGATATAATTCCCTCTAAAATAATAAAATCCACAAACTAATTGCATTGATCTCAGGTGTTTTCGCAGCTTATCCTCACACACAGAGTCTTATCCCTGAACAGTTGTCACACGTTGAGATTCCTTTCCTGACGTCTAAAACAAAACACTTTGTACTTTGATTCGAACAAAATAAATTTGGTAAAGGACCATATGTATTTGATGATATAGGACAAGATTTGGTGACTAAGAAGACGAATAACGTAAGTATACAATTATGAATATATACATGATATATACCTGCAGTGATGGAAACAATAGAGTATGTGATCACCCCGTCGTCACTGTGGTCGTCATCAGTAGCGGTGAACGTCGTCAGCATAAATCCAGGTGCTTCATCCTCACTCACACTCAGTCCGGTAAATGTTCCACTTCCATCTGAAGCAGGTCCTGTCCACACAGGGTCGAACTCGTTCTCTGGTTTGACCGTCACCTTCACTATCGCTGTCCCCGTGTTGGCCTCCCCCTGGTCTGGTGTGTCCACTGCTGTGAGGATCAGGGTGTACATGTAGCCTGACGCTTCTAGAGCCTCGTAGTCAAGATCAGTGGCGTCAGTGAACAGTTTAGAGCTGGCTGTTTTAAACTTATTGGCGGTATCATCCCCACTGGCCAGTGTTAGGTCAAACTTGGCGTTGTTGCCGACATCGCTGTCAACACATACAAAATCCAGCAGCTCGGTATCTGAAAATTAAAGGTAAGGCGTGTGAAGTGGATGTGATGAAATCAATGAAAGGCTTTCAGTATTGATACTGATGAATTGAAAACTTAACTGAAGCGTCATGGTACGTCTGACACGTTTTACGTGTTACGAGCTCAATTAATCCTAAAATAACCTCGCAACCTCTGTGACGACAGTGAATGAATGACTGAGTGAGCATCTATGTACGTCGCTTTTAGTACTTTGTTAGCAATATCTGGCGGTCGGGTAGCCTCGTGCTTAAAGAGTTCGCTCGTCACGTCGAAGACCCGGGTTCGAATCCCGACATGGGTACATTGTGTGAAGCCCATTTCTGGTGTCCCCCGCCGTGATATTGCTGGAATATTGCTAAAAGCGGCGTAAAACCGCACTCACTCACAGTAAGCAATATCACGGCGGTTGACAGAAGAAATATATTTCACTAACGTGGAGAATTGAACACGGTCCTGCCATTGGCGTGACGAGCGAATGCTCTGCACCCCCCCCCCCCCCCCCCCCACTACCCCCCCCCCCCCCCCCCCCCCATCTCCCCACACACCCCTTTAACTACAGTATAGACTCCTGTACACGTAATGCCTACACAACACACATGTCGTCAAAGGGACCTAACTGTTGGTGAGGTATTATTGCTCTAAATGGATCTCCTATAAAATCACGAATTCCTGAAAGACGATGGTTTGTCCTAACCAATATTTGCTTCAAGGATTTAAGTAGCATTACCTCCTGGCGTATTTTCAGTGACCTCAAATTCATACACAGTCTGGTCACAAACCGGAAGTTGATCATTGATGTCCTCTACTGTGATGGTGAGATCCTGAGTAGCCTGCAGTCCAGCCTGGTCAGTGACGGTCAAGGTGAGAGACAGTTCAGTTTTAGCATTGGTCCCTTCTCTATCAACATTCGTGGCAACTGATAAGTCACCAGATGATGAGTTGATGGTAAGGTAGTGACTGTCAACACCTGAAGAAATGAAAAGGGGAATATCCATGAAAACACGTGTTTGTCCACGTGTTTGTAAAGAAAGAACACCTGTAGGTCATTAAGGGAGAACACTCCAAGGTCAAGGGCGTAGAGGTTCTTTGGGTTACCAAAGAAGGAAACATCGAGATCAAGAAAGATGATATTGGGTTAACAAAGTATGACCCACCAAGGTAACGAAAGTAGAAGAGCTTTGGGACAACAAAGTATAAGGCACATAGGTTAAGAAAGTAGTGTACCTTTTGGTTAACAAAGGAAATCATTAGGTCAAGAAAGGAAAAAAATATTTTGGTTAGCAAAATATAATCCATCCAGTTTAAAATAGTTAATTACTTTGGGTTAGCAGAAGAACATAAAATGCCACTGAGGATGGAAAGAAAAATAAATTAGATGAGGACAGGAGAATATATATAGGTCAACAGGAGCACATTTAAGGAACCAGGAAAATGTTTTCAGGACTTAAAAACAACTTTGGAGAACATAGTTGAAATGTAGGTATAAATTATTATAATGTATTGTGATCTTCAAACATACTTTGTCGGATTTATTGGGATTAATACTGCATGCAACATACCATTTAGGACATAAGTAAGAACATCCTTCTCATCAGCATCTGTAACGACGTATCCTCCCTCTACAGGAGTCCCAACTGTCTGCTCCTCCGCCATGGAAGTTGTGGTTGCCATGGTGATGACAGGAGCCTGGTCTATAACATCTACTATGTCGATCTTGACGGACACATCAGTTTCATGCACTCCATCAAATGCCCTGATTCATAACAAAAAAGGGGGTTGTTTTGTAATTGATCCAGATGAATTTAATTATATGCTGAGAATGTCTCTTTATCATATCTAAATATTTGAATGTAATAAGAAGCAGTAAAGAAATATCATATTATTACGTGCATGTGTGCTGAAACAACTAACCTTATTGTGAGAACGTGAACTCTGTCTGTTTCAAAGTCTAAGGCAGCCTTGACGATGATGTCGTTTCCGTCGCACTCGAACAGGTCATCCCTTCCAGTGGCGATGGACAGGTTAACATCATCACCGTCAAAGTCGGCATTGATGAGGGAAACCACAACCGCCCCAACACCACTGTCCTCGGCGACGCTGGTGTGGTACTCACTTTGGTCAAAGACAGGGGCATTGTCGTTTACGTTGGTCAGTGTAATGGTCACAGTGCCAGCTACCTCTCTTAGGGTGTGTCCACTGTCTAATGCCTTCACAGAAATTGTATAGCTTCCTGCGCCATTGGTGCCAGCGTCATAGTCTAATGTTCCAGTAACAATCAGTTCTCCAGTATGGCTGTCAACGGAGAACATACCGTCAGCAGAAGCTCGGGAAGCTGTGGAATAATCAAACAATCACCCTGATCATTAATCAAACCACAACCTTCATTCAAACAACGGAGTTAGGTGGCTTTATCCAATTTCTAAAAAAGTGCTTCCCGAAAAAAAGGTCATTACATTTTTGGTCTGCATAGTATTGTATATATTGTATCGGGTACCTTAGTTAGCAATATATTGCCCACACATTGATTTGTCCAACCAGATCTCTGGCATACATATATATATTTCATCTATCACCTAGTGTATATGTTTTACCTATAAACTAAAAACGTCAAAATTGTACTATTCATATTCGTAAAAAAACAACACAATTCCAAGTATAACGGAATTTCAAAATTTCAGGAAAATAATGACGGAAGCAGGACACTGATCAAAGATGTATCTATATGCCAATAAAAAAATCGAATATGACGTTTTGACATTTCACAAAATATATTTGTGGTTGCATAAATCTTCGCCACAATTAAATCTGTGCTCAATCATGTAATATTGTTCTCCTTCAATTATTGTCAAAATGACTTCCAAGCACTACGGGGGGCACGGGGGGCCCAGTCGTCTAAGGCCCCGATTATGTTTCTAGGTTTGTCAGCACCATACCCGTGCTCGTGGGTTTCACCGAAGTGGTAAACGTCTGAGACCTGCATCACTTCGGGCTTTCCTCCCACATTAAGCTGACACGCCGCGATATAACTGTAATACTGTTAATAGCGGCGTTAAACCCAACTCACTATTCCAAGCACTACGGGTTTGACATAGGAGTTTATATCTATCAGATAACTGTGAAGGATTTCCTGAATATACATGTACCTGAATTTGTCCCTGTGATGGTGTAGGTGACGAGGCCATCATCTGCCTTGTCATTGTCAGTAGCAGTGAATACTGTCAAAACAGAACCAACTGATGTGTCTTCAGATATGACAATATCATCAAAACTACCACTAACGCTTGACGTTGGCGCGGTCCATACCGGGTCGAATTCATTTTCAGGCACAACTGTCACCTATAACGAAATAGGATTAATTATGTTTAATTTACATATAGAATGTGGGCGCCTGTCGACAACTTATAGTGCGAAATATATTTGTCATGATCAAACTGGTCAGAATGTTTAGTTTTGATCATGATCTATACATCTATCTCCAGGGTGTTCAATGCATTGAATCCAGGATCCGCTGGTTCGAATAAAAAGTCGCCATTGTTTGCCTTTCCTGTTTGTGATTATTGGTTCTAATTCACAGTCGTGAAGTCAATTTTACATTAGGAAATAGATAAAAGTAAAGGTTTGCAAAACTTTCTTTGATTGTGATTCACACCAGTTTAACTGTGGGGGAGGTTGGGTAGCCCAGTGGTAAAAGCGCCCGCTCGTCACTTTGAAGGCCCGTGTTCGATTCCCGACATGGGTACAACGTGTGCCCCGCCGTGATATTACTGGAGTATTGGTAAAAGCGACGTAAAAACATACCCATTCATTCAGTATAACTGTGCACAGAATAATAGTGCCAGTTTTCCACGTGAACTATCATTGTTTGCCACAGCAATATAGCAGCTATTTCATGACATCCTGTGAGTTGTGATATCTGGATAAGTCATGTCGTCTTTTACGCTATCATGAGTAATTATAAGTACATTGCTACGCAAGACCCCCATTTGATTACGATATTTGGGGGCAATATTGCTTTGAACACACAAAGGACGACGCATGTCAAACATATTAGATAAGATGACCTTGACGATTGCTGTTCCTGTCATGGCCTCCCCATCATTGGGCGTGTCCACTGCAGTGATGATGAGGGTGTACATGTAGTTTGAAGCCTCCAGACTCTCATAGTCAATAGCATTATCAGCTGACAGTAGTTTTAGATCCACCATCTGAAACTTCCGGACTGTATCGTCCCCGCTGGCCGATGACGTCGCGAATACGGCGTTGTTGCCTGCGTCTCCATCAGTACAGGTGAGCTCCAGCAGGTTAAAGTCTGAAGTGAATGATATTGAGATATATCAGAGCTATGCTGGTAGAGTGAGTGAGTGAGTGAGTGAGTGATTGAGTGAGGACCACATGAATTACTACCTGAATATATTACACAAAGATTATTAAAACGTCAATGTAATTTAAACTAATTCGGCATTGACATACTTGATGAGAAAGTATACACTTGAAAAGGGGATTTGTAAAAAACAGTACAAACGTTATCAAAACGTTACCAGGCTGAAACAGTCACAGAAACACTGCAAACTTAGGTCCAAAACGCAACTATCTTACCCGTATCAAATACATCGACATCAAATAACCGTTTCTTGTTTGTTTCATTTTAGCCACCACAAAACATAACTTTCTATTGCCCAGCAGTTTACATCATAAACAGTGTCCGTAGTATATGTAATCATTGCTACTGCTGTCTATGTCGGTTAGATAAGTATTACCACGCATTCTATCCTACAGCATCCGATCTAAATGTGTTGCTAAATATGGGGCCAATTAAATTATTTCCAGGGACATACATATCAGACATGAAACGGGGCTGACACTCACCGGCAACAGTGTTTTCTGTGACCTCTATCTCGTACACAGATGGGTTGAATACTGGCGGGAGATCGTTGATGTCCTCAACTGTGATATTGAAGTCCTGGGTGGCCTGGAGTCCAGCCTGGTCAGTGACGGTCAGTGTGAGGGACAGGGCTGACTTAGCACTGGTCCCTTCCCTGTTGATATTTTGGGCAACTGTCAGCTCGCCTGTTGCTGAATCAATGCTGAGGTAGGCGCTGTCAGCTCCTTTAAAGGACATATTAAGTGTTAAGTGATTACAGAGATTCTACAAATATATCATTGCTTCCTAACGTTGTATATCATCAGTACAGAAACCTCGAATTCCGACACATGATGTCTTGAAATGAGAGCGACAAAAAAACATTCCCATTGTCCGATTCCGACTATATCATGAACATGTGTTTATGAATCATTATCAAATTGTTATGATACCAGTTGTTCGCGAAAAGGTGGCACCGTCACAAATATGCACAGGCAAGTCAAATGTTCACTTGAAAAAACACGGGAAGATAATACTATGGTACAAGTCAAACTGGGGAATTACACCGGACAACATTTTTTGTATGGTTTACTGATTGAACAATAATAAGTTTGAATAAAATCTGAATCATCCGTTTTCATAAGGTATGTGTTTATATGTAAGTTAAACGAAGCGTAACAATTCCATACTATGGGTATGTATGTCCTAGTTTCAGTGAGGACGTCGTACACTCAAATCAGCAATATTGCATCAATACATGGAACACATTGAATTGGATTTACACAGAACCAGTTTGGGACTAGAACCTGGCTTGATGAACGAACGCGTTAACTACAGGGCTACCCCATCGCCTCCCATTATATGATATATCTTACATTTAGAATGATTAACTCTTTAACGTCACTAACCAGTCAGAGTGTAGACGAGGATATCTAGTTTATCAGCATCCGTGACGATGTATCCTCCATACACTCCGGTTCCTGTTGTTTGTTCCTCTGCAACTGAACTTGTGGTTGCCATGGTGATAACAGGTGCCTCATCGATGACGTCAACAATATCTACTTGAAGTGAAACCTCAACCTCAAACTTTCCATCACTGGCCCTGAAGAAAATACACATCTTTTACATGTATATATAATACATTTGAGGCAATAACTGTATGTTTTCATCTTCAACATATAAATAAGGCTCTACGCCTGTTGAACATACCTGATTACAAGTACATGGTAGGTATCTGTTTCGAAATCTAGAGCAGCCTTGACCTTGACGTCATTTCCGTCACACGCGAACAGATCATCGCGTCCATTTGAGATAGTCAACGTCACAGCGTCACCGTCATGGTCCTGGACGTTGAAGGCGATGACAACTGTGTCCGCAGTGCTGTCTTCACTGAGGTCTGCCTGGTACTCTGTCTGATCAAACACAGGAGCGTTGTCGTTGACGTTGTCCAGAGAGACAGTGATGGTTCCTTCTACAGAGCGTGCCGTGGCTCCGTTGTCCGATGCCTTCACTACAATGGTGTAACTCGCCTCGCCGTTTGTTCCTGAGTCAACGTCTAAAGGACTCGCCACCAGTACATCTCCCGTGTGGCCAAGGACTGAAAACTTATCAGCAACTGTTGTACCAGAAGCTGAATCAGAAAATTGTTGATTTGAATATTTCAACCTCAATTGTACGTGATAGTAAAAGCAGAAACAAAAGGCAATATGACCGTTTTATGATGCCGCATGCAAGTTTTAAGTACTTCTTTTCTCCTAAAGTTAGGAAGTTCTTTTTAGTAATTCGTGCCTCTCTTAAATCTTGTATACATATTATTATTTGTTACTCTATGATTTTGTGTCATCAATAGGCGTTCGTATGATAATATGCTACAAATTAAGCACCAGGATCCATATGAATGAGGGGCGTGCTCAAATTGCAGGACAATATTACGAAACAGTGACTGTGCATTCTCAGTTCCCTATCCCATTGACTTGTCTCCAGCAACCCATGCTTGTGGTAAGAGGCGATTAACGGGATTGAGTGGTCAGATTCAGCGGAGGACATGTTGCCACAGACGTTGATGCTGGGGATGTCCTAACTAACGTTCTGCCTGGTATGTTCTGTCCTCATCTAGCAGTGATCTAAGCTAGTGTACACTGGACACAGCTAAAGATACTATATAGCTCCAATAAATGATTTTATAAAATCTATAATGGGAAATATTGCTGATACTAATAACGCAAGATCTGTTCAGCTTGTATGTATGGTTCCCCCATGATGATCCGGGTCTTCGACCACACATGCTTATAAGAGCCGACTGACGGGATCGGGTGGTCAGACTTGCTACTTTGGTTGAGCTCTGTCATCGTATCCCAGTTGTGTAGATCGATTCCCATGATTTCAATCACAAGATTGTCTGGTCTAGACTCGAGTGTTTACATACCGCCGAATGTTGTTGAGTGCGGTGTAAAACAACAAACAAACACATTTCAGCTCCCTGGGATGTATAAAAAGATATTATTTGGTACTCGCACTACTCTCACAACTGTATTAATATTCACTCTCTCAGAGGCAAATGTCACAAAGTTATTTGCAAATGGGGCCCGCCATGTGTTCATTGTCACGTGTTCTAGGATGAGCAAGTAACTGTGCAGCTTGTGTTCGAGTTGCTCAAATAATCAGTGTGAAAATGTGTTTCCATAAGGTGAAAATATAATATGTACATTGTATATGTAGAGTTCTGATTACCTGCAGTGACTGAGACGATGCTATAGGTGACTACACCATCATTCCCTTCATCATCATCAGTGGCAGCGAACGTCGTCACAACACTACCAGGAATAGCATCTTCTGTCAAACTTATCCCGGTAAATGTTCCACTTCCATCTGAAGCAGGTCCTGTCCACACTGGGTCGAACTCGTTCTCTGGTTTGACCGTCACCTTCACTATCGCTGTCCCCGTGTTGGCCTCCCCCTGGTCTGGTGTGTCCACTGCTGTGATGACCAGGGTGTACGAGTCCACAGATTCGTAGTCCAACAGGTTATCTGTCTGAAGCTGCTGACCATTCATCTTGAACTTTGTAGATGCGTCATCTCCATGTTGAACAACGACATTAAATACAGCATTGTTTCCATCGTCACTGTCCGTGCATGTGAGGTCCAACAGAGACGTATCTGAAATCAAATCATAAATTGTCCTATAAATTTTTGTTTGTTTGATGTTTAATGCCGCGCCCAGCAATATTCGAGCTATATGAGGTCTCTAAATAATCGACCTGGACCAGACAATCCAGTGATTGACATCATGAGCATCGATCTACGCAATTGGGATATGATTACATGCATCAATCGAATCACCAAGCCTGACCACCGGATCTCGTTAGTGGCCTCTTACGACACGCTTGGGTTGCTGAAGATTAATTCTAACCCGGATCCTTTGAGTGAGTGAGTTGGGTTTAACGCCGTTTTGAACAGTATCCCAGTTATATCACGACGTAATTGTCCCATATACCAAAGAACATCATATCACAAGCATTGAAAGGATTATGTAAACACTATGTGGAAGGTGAAGGTGAAAGTGAAGGTGAAGGTGAAAGTGAAAGTGAAGGTGAAGGTGGAGTTCAATATTATTGCACATGTGTGTGTGTGGCTGCTTGTAGTAGTCCGGCTTTATGTCGGTTATAGTGCTAGCCCAATGAGTTTAACACGGATACACCACTCAGACACATATATATGACTCTGAGACGAACTGTTTTACCCCTTATATTAATCAGAAGCAAAACTCCATACAGGGTAACAACAAGTACCATTTTTAACGTAGTTTGGTATGAGGCCCCCAGAAGATCGATCTTGTTAGGTTAATCAGTGAATCATCAATACAATAGTATACTTTGTTTTGGAGACATGAGGGCAGTATGTTGAAAGAAACACTCTCTATTTATGGTGAAGAAAAGGTTGCCAGTCTTTTGGCTCGTTTATACTGCTTTGAATCTTATTTCAGTAAAGGCATGGTCTTAGGGTGAACCCCACAGTTGCGTAGATCATAGCCGTTTATAACTTTGGCGAAACCAGTGAGCCCAGGTATGGTGTTTACAGACCGAAGGGCATAATCAGGAAGAATCAGGAATTCTAACATTACATCAGCGGATCTTGGCATAGGGAAGGGCCGTAACTCTGAACAGCAAATTGCAGTACCAAAGACCTGTGTCCCAAAATTATTACATCATTACTATTATCAACTGTTTCAACAATTCACGCCTGTTTTGTATTAATTTCAACTTAATAGAAACAATTATTATTATAGGTGCTGAGTACTTTTAGGAGTGGGATTCCCAAAAGTAGAACTTTAGGCAACATGTCTTCTTGAAGGTATTCTGTAAGGAATCTTCTAATATGACCAATACTCGTAAGATATCACGCAAAAGGATAAGGAAAATACAAAAACAATGCTTAAATCAAGCATTATTGAAAGAAACGTACCGGGAGGTGTATTTTCTATGACTTCAACAGAGTACTCTATCGGGTTGAAAACGGGAGGGAGATCGTTTATATCCACAAGCAAGATGGTGAAATCTTTGGTGGCCACAAGTCCAGTCTGGTCAGTGACAGTCAGGGTGAGAGAGGCTTCGCTTTTCCCTGCATCTCTGTCGAGATTCTGTGCCATAGTTAACTCTCCCGTCGTGGAATCAATGGCGAAGTAACCACTGTCGGATCCTGCAGATGAAGCAATTCTTTTCACAATCTGAGCCATGAGTGACTGAGTGAATCTTGTTTCACAACGCAAAATTCCCAATCTTTATGTAATATCCCAGACAATAAGAATATGTGACTATTCGAGTGAGTTAGTGAGTGAGTTGGGTTTAACGCCGCTTTTAACAGTATTACAGTTACATCACGGCGTGTCAGCTTAATGTGGGAAAAAAGCCCGAAGTGATGCAGGTCCCAGACGTTTACCACTTCGGTGAAACCCGCGAGCACGGGTATCGTGATGACAAACCTAGAAACATAATCGGAGCGAACCGGGATTCGAACCCGCAATCATAGGTTTCTGGCGGGCCCAAGGGACGCAACTCTGCACAGCGAATCGCGGCGCCTTAGACACCTGGGCTACCCGTGTCCCTATATTTTACTGATTAGAGAATCAATTTCTTTAAGGGTTATACATTGATAACACGTAATAAATGGTTCACATGTTTCAGTAATTTCACTATTCCAGCTGTACTATTCCATTCTGATTTAGAATAGGCACCTAACAACCTATGATGGTCGTAAGAGGCGATCAAAATGATCGCTCGACGACCCAGCTGGTTGTGTGTCATCATATACCGACGGCGTGGATCGTTTCTCACAGTATCGATCACTGGATTGTGTTGTCCACAGTCTAATATGTACAGGCCGCCGTCACATAGCTGGAATATTGTGTGCAAGAAACAAACAAACACATATTCCAGCTTTATCATGGGCCTATATATACAGACATCTGGGACAAGTATGAACATGAATGTATACGTCAAGATGCAAGGACACACACTGTGACCCATGTTCTCATTTTAGTCGGCTTTTGCGACAACCAAGTATATTCTAAACGATAGTCAAAGAATATCGGGAACATAAAGGAATTGGCAATTCATAAACCGAATTGTTAGTAAATACTCGAGTCTGGACCAGACAATCCAGTGATTGACATCATGAGCATCGATTTACGCAACTGGGATACGATGACATGTATCAACCAAGTCAGCGACCGTCCGATCCCGTTAGTCGCCTCCTACGACAAGCATGGGTTGCTGAAGACCAATTTTAACTCGGATCTTCACGGGGGAACTACAAATACAAGTAGAAAATATGTCGCGTCATAAGTATCACCATCCTGTGCCATATAGGTCTTCAACATTGAGTTAATGGGGCAGATATTATGGTTAGGTGTATACCGAGTGTACACTAGCGTAGATCACTGCTGGATGTAGAGATAAAGAGGTGCAGCTGATACAGACAGGGTATTACCCAACATAAAGGGACAGAGCATACCAGAAAGGGCGTACATCAGGACATCCCCAGCATCAGCATCTGTGGCAACATAGCCTCCATCCACTGCCGTCTCTATTGTTTGTTCCTCTGCCATTGAGCTTGTAGTTGCAATGGTGATGATAGGTGCTTCATCCATGACATCAGCAACATTGATCTCCAGTGATACATCTGTGTTATATTTACCATCATTTGCCCTGTAAAATTAAAGTGCGGATATACTTTGTCATAATTCAGTGTTAATAGTGATGAAAAAACACACATAAAACGTCAGTATAAACACGACGAACATACTGACAATGAAATATCAAAATACTCGAAATAGGTTAAAGAACACCCGAAAAAATCGTAGTGGTATATGTGACCAACCATAATAAAAGAGGCCATATGGGTGAAAAATCACATTTTGACTTCTCATTATGTTTTAAAAATACAGTGCCTTGGAGAAAACAGGAACACAATGCACAGGCTTCAAATCATATTTATTACAGAGATACTTGGTATCAAACATTTGGACTAATTTTCTGCAAAATCGCATTTTCAGACTTGAAATTATCACTGTTGTTGTTATAATTTAAATATAATGACTAATCAATCGAAAGTAGACATGTATGCTGACATGTTTTGAAATAATGTGTTACATTACGACCTAAAAAGAGAAAAATAATTTTTTTTGTAAAGACCGCATAGATCTACATAGCGATTTTTACGGAAGTAAGTTGACGTCAAACGTCTTTCTTTATGACGTCACAACACAATTGTATCCAAGCACCCATAAAGTCCCTTTTCTACAAGGGGAGACATATTATGTCTTTTCAATATTACCTTATAACAAGAACGTGCGCTGTGTCCGTTTCAAAATCCAGCGCAGCCTTGACCTTGACGTCATGTCCGTCACACGTAAACAGGTCATCCCGTCCACTGGCGATAGACAACGTCACGTCGTCACCGTCATGGTCTTGGATGTTGAAGTTGATGACAGTTGTATCCACAGCACTGGTTTCATTGAGGTTTGCTTGGAATGTTGACTGGTCAAATGTAGGTGCATTGTCATTGATGTTTAGCAGTGTGAAAGTGATGCTCCCGTCAACACTGCGTGGCGTCACCCCATTATCTGAAGCCCTAACACTGACAGTGTAACTAGCTTCTCCACCAGTGGCGGTGTCCACGTCAAGCTCTCCAGCCACCATCACATTTCCTGACACAGCATCTATTGTAAACTTGTCCGAGCCATCTGCACCTGATGCTGATAATTGAAAGGAAATTGCAATAAAAGGCCACAAATTACCATTATCATGTACAGTTAATGAAACGGAGTATAGCGTAAATGTAAATATAAAGATGATGCTATAAAAATAAGATCAAGGCAAGAGAAATGATTGTTTTCAACAAAACGTAACCATCAGCATAATTGATGCCTTCACTTATATCTATGTATGTTCGCCACGGATTTGTCTATTTAGTTGTCAATATCAATAATACTTAATGTCAATGTGAGAGTAATTCCTTTCTTAACATTATAATAATGTTTTCGCCAGTGACGCCTTTCGAACTGAAAAACATCGTTTGGAATTGAAGAAGAACACAGTTGACAGTCAGTCTTGAGTTCCGATAATGTCGAGTGAATATGTATAGGGTTTTACGCCACATTTAATCAAGACTCTTGCCCTTTTTCAGCGTAGAAGATAAGAGATGTGCGTTACACGTGTGACGTAGTGAGGGAGTATAGGTTTACGCCGCTAGTAGCAATATTCGAGCATTATCACTGCGAGGGACGCCAGAAAACCGCACCGTCGGCGTGACGAGCAACCCACTAGGCTATCCACGGGCCCTACACATGTGACGTAGGGGAATATTTATCTTGTTTGACCAGGGAAAGCTTTAATCCCTACTTAAAAAAGAACAAAAAACACCAAAAGACCTCCATCAAAACCAGAAAAAAATCCCCCCAAAACAAACAAACGTGATTGAGTTGTAGTTACAGCAGCGCTTCGATGTATGATGTCCAATGTTACTAACCGCTTACAACAGAGACAATGCTGTAGATGATGTCTCCGTCGACACCCAAGTCATCATCTGTAGCCTGATAAGCTGATATCACTGCACCAGGAGCAGAGTCTTCATCTATGTCTACAGCATCAACCCCATCAGAAGCTGGGGATGTCCATACGGGGTCAAACTCATTCTCAGGTTTCACTGTGACCCTTACAATAGCTGTTCCTGTATTGGGTGCCCCCTGGTCAGGCGTGTCCACTGCTGTGATGACCAGGGTGTACATGTAGCCTGACGAACCGACGGATTCATAGTCAGCAGGGGTGGAGTCCGTGAGAAGCTGAAGTCCGGACATCTTGAAGACACCTGCTCCACCATCTCCACTAGCAACCGTGACGTCAAACAAGGCGTTGTTACCCGTATCTCCATCAGAGCAGGTCAGGTCCAACAACGATAGATCTATTACGATAAATTGAAATCAACTGTGTTTTGTTTTAATTACAGAAAAGTTTAATCTTGTTTAAAAAGCAATGACATATTCAAAGAATATACAGAATATATTAGTGACCACGATCGCGTCGCAAGAAAGCTATCTGAGCACTATTATTGTCATAGCGCTCAAGTCATTGGGCTAAGAATCCCTTTTGGAATGGTCCAGCTGCAATACGCTTTGTTCTGTAGGTTATTATTTTTTCTGTCATATTTTACTAAATGAGTGAGTTTGGTTTAACGCTGCTTTGAACAGTATTCCATTGATATCACTGCGTGTCAGCTTGGTGTAGGAGGAAAGACCGAAGTGATGCAGGTCTTGGACGTTTACCACTCTGGTGGAACCATCGAGCACGTGTATGGTGCTTACAAACCTAGAAACATAATCACGGCGAACCTGGATTTCCATCCACTATCATGGGTTTCTGGTGTGTTTAAAGGATGCAACTCTGCAAATGGAATTGCGGCGCCTTAGATGTCTGGACACCCGTGCCCTCATATTACTGATTAGAGAATCGATTTCTTTATTAGTTATACATTGATAACACGTAATAAATGGTTCACACGTCTCCGTAATTTCACTGAGTTGTAAGAAAAACACCATTCTCCACCTGCAGCACTATTTTCCACTATCTCAACGCTGTACTCTGAAGAAGCAAAAACCGGTGTCAAGTCATTGATGTCCTCTACAATGATGGAGAAAGCCTGAGTGGCCTGCATCCCTCCTTGGTCAGTGACGGTCAAGATGAGGTCCAGCTGGGTCTTTCCACTGCTTCCATCCCTGTTGACGTGTCGTGCCACCGACAGCTCCCCAGTGGTAGAGTCAATGTTCAGGAAGCTGCTGTCAGCACCTTTGAAGTGTGGATATGAGTAACACAGGTGACTATCATGTCGGTAATACCACACCACCTAAATATAATACATTGAAACATCCATAGCTTATCACAACGTTTTTGGAGTGTATACGTCTATTGCATAGTCTTGCAATAGCAGTTGTACTCATACCGTGCTCGCCTTTAGAACGATTCATACACAGGTGACTATCATGTCAGTAGTACCACACCCATTAAATAAAATACACTGAAACATCCATAGCTGATCACAACGTTTTTGGATTGTGTACGTCTATCGCATAGTCTTGCAATAGCAGTTGTACTCATACCGTGATCGCCTTTAGAACGATTCATAAACACATGCTGATGATATATGAGTAGTATGAATCGTACAATGGAATCTGCTTTCAGTAAAACTTTCTTATGATTCTGGAAATGCGTTTGTATCCTTTTATCTAAACATTAAAACCTTCAAACATGAAGTTCTTTAACCCAATAGTGAGTGAGTGAGTCTGGTTTTACGCCCCTTTTAGCAATATTCCAGCAATATCACGGCGGGGGACACCAGAAATGGGCTTCACACATTGTACCCATGTCGGGAATCGAACCCGGGTCTTCGGCGTGACGAGCAAACGCTTTAACTACTAGGCTATCCAACCGCCCCTTTTAACCCAATATGTTTATGGATTTTATGTTTGGCCCTGGCGAAATCCTAATATGTGGTCTGATATAGTCTGTCAATTGTCTTGAACAAAGAATAAATACATTTTATATAATCCTCACTTCCATCTTTCCGTGAAAACACGTTTAAGGTTATAAAGGTTTTTCATACCACTTAGATCGTATGTGATTGTGTCGTTTGCGTCAGCATCAGTGGCAATATATCCTCCATATACTCCTGTTCCTAATGCTTGTTCTTCTGCCATAGATGCAGCAGCAACCATCACAATAACAGGGCTCTCATCGCTGGCATCCTGGACGTTGATTTGGAGGGGCACATCGGCATCAAAGACACCATCACTAGCCCTACAAACAGTAGAATGTATCATAATGTGTTTTAACCCTTCAATATCAGTTATAGCATTTGCGATTTTCAATTGATTTTGTCTATAAAAGGGCTGTTAAATACTGATGTAAAATAATTACTATACCTGACGACAGATATGTGAAGTAATATAACAGTTTATTAGTGTGTAAATGGAAAGACTAACTGGTCTTCTAAAATTAACATTTTATCAAGGTTTGGTTTCGGGATATATCTGGCAACAAGAAGATGTATATATGTGTCTGGTTTTATATCTGAGTTCGTATATAGACTGAAATCATCCTACGAGCAAGATTGGCATACATTTCTAGTTCTAAATTGGTAACCTATGCTTCTTTCACATTGTCCGTTGGTCTCGAATTCTTTGTTAAAGACATTTCAATTTAATAATTCCGTGCTGCAGCTTCGAATTGATACTGGTAGATATGATAAAGAAGTAAAGTCAGATAGAATATGCCTTCTATCCAAACAAAGTACATAGAGGATGAGTGACAGTTTGTATTTGTGTTATGTTTATGACAATATCAGGAGTTTGTATATACCCACCCACCCAAAGAATACTTATATCCAACATTACATCCAACAACTTACTGATGTAAAAAAATCCAGAAACTGTTAAAAATCTTGTAAAGTTTGTTTATAAATCAACCCAAATAAGACAATCATTTGTATGAACAATGCATATCAATGTTCCAATGTATGATGTTACTCTCTCAAGCAATGATGCAACTGTAGAATGGGCCATTGGCCTCTAGCACTTTATTAATATAGATTGACTAGCTGAATTGAATTTGTATACATATTCATGTGCAGAGTTCCACAATTGTGATACAGAGAGACAACTATAGCAAATACCTGATTGTAACAACATGGTATGTATCTGTTTCGTAGTCTAAGGGGGCTTTGATCCTGACCTCATGTCCCACACACTCAAACAGGTCATCCCGTCCGCCGGCTACAGACAGAGTTACTGCATCGCCATCATAGTCATCAGTGATGAGGGTGATCACCCCTGTCCCAGCAACACTAGCTTCACTCACACTAGCTGTGTAGTCAGTCTGGTCAAAGGTCGGGGCGTTGTCGTTGACGTTTGTCAACGTAACAACAATGTTACCATCCACGGTCCGGACTGTTGCTCCGTTGTCTGATGCCCTGACTACAATAGTGTAGCTACTTTCTCCGTTTGTCCCCACGTCAACATCCAACACTCCTGCCACCATCAATTCTCCTGTTGTGGGGGCTATGGAGAATGTGTCTGGTGATGAAGCTCCTGATGCTGTTAGAGGGTAATGAAATAGTTGAACACACTGAATATATATATATCATATACATTGCATGCACTAACAGATAGACAGATATGCAGACAGACAGAGAGACAGAGAGAATGGCAGACAGACAGATTGATGATCAGTAAAGGAATTCATGTCAACAATGTTGGAGTCAGAAAAAATGCCATCATATACAAATAATTAATATCCATATATAGATATGACCAACTTTAAGAAAGAGGCCGATTTTGATTTAATAGAACTTTGTAATGTGTTTTTTTCAAGTGTTTTATGTAAAATTTCACGTAGTTTAAGGGTACGTGCATTTTGCTATGTTGATAGTATATTCCTTACCAGCAGTGACAGACGCAATGCTGTAGGTGACGTCACCGTCGTCGCCGAGATCAGCATCAGTTGCAGTGAAGGCTGTCAAGGCAGTCCCTGGAGCATCACCTTCACTGACTGTAGCTCCTGCAAAGTTACCGCCGCCATCAGGAACTGGATTACTCCAAACAGGGTCGAACTCATTCTCAGGCTTCACTGTCACTCGCACAATGGCCGTTCCTGTGTTTGCTACTCCATTATCCGGCTTGTCCACTGCTGTGATGATCAGGGTGTACATGTAGCCTGATGAACCGAGAGCCTCATAGTCAGCAGGGGTGGAGTCCGTGAGGAGCTGAAGTCCGGACATCTTGAAGATACCTGCTCCACCATCTCCACTTGCAACCGTGATGTCATACAGGGCATTATTGCCAGTGTCTCCATCAGAGCATATTACATCCAGCAACGACACATCTAGAATAAAACAGCAAATATAAAACGCCAACGACAGAAAATAACCTGTATGGTTATCAACCGAAACAGATTCCATTGGGAGTAAAAGGCAAAATTGTAACGAAAATGATATAAATGGATCACTGAAATCAGTGAAATGGGTCAATAAAAAGCACTTGCATTGGAAAATAATTGTAGCTTAAAACCAACATTTTAGGCTTATGTTACATGTTTCACACACCCACATGTGTGGCATGCTTGTGTATTCCAGCATGCTTTAACCACAAGACTACTCCTATGTCCCTCTTATATGGTAATAGCAGTTACATTGTCAATACGATCAATTCTGTTCGGCTAGTTCGACATCTTGACTGTATGAAAGGCTGCATACCTGCTGCTGAATTCTCAGTAATTTCAGCAGTGAACTCTGAAGGATTAAAGACCGGTGGCAAATCATTGATGTCCTCAACTGTGAGTGAGAAAGCCTGAGTGGCCTGTTGACCACCCTGGTCAGTGACGGTCAAAGTGAGGTCCAGTTGTGTCTTGCCACTGCTTCCTTCTCGGTTGACATTCTGGGCTACTGACAACGCCCCAGTGGCAGAATCAATACTAAGGTAACCGCTGTCAGCTCCTGTTATGAAAAGAGTCAAAGATACATTGCATCCAGAAATGATCTTGTGATTGAAATTTTAGATGTAGATTATTATTAAGTTACAGGTGTAATATCGAATGGAAGGTCTAAATACAAAAATGCATTTAATTAACAAATACTGAGTCATGATCGCCACCTCACGTTGCATGTAACGTGTAAAACATTCAGCTACATGTATATCAATGAAAGTCTGTGTACCAGAGAGAGCATATCTCATGACCGAGGGTCACCAAAGGTTCCAATTAACATGTATCGGTTTGATACGTTTGTTGTGTGTGTCCCTCAACAGTATTTAAATACTGCACGGATACAATGACCAGAATAGCTGGCATGTATTGTAGTGCAATAAATGAAAGCGACTAAGACATTTCCATAATCATAAGAAATCTCTACTTAAAGCAGAATCAACTGTACAATTCCGATTATATCATGATCATGTGCTCTATGAATCGTTCTCCATACCAGAGAGAACATATGTCAGATTGTCTCGAGCATCAGGGTCAGTGACAAGATATCCCCCATACACTCCGGTTCCTGGTGCCTGTTCTTCTGCCATGGTGGCAGTTGTTACCATGGTGATGACAGGATCTTCATCACTGACGTCCTGTACGTTCACTTGGACAGAGACATCGGTCTCAAAGACACCGTCACTGGCTCTGAAAACAGATTTTTATACCGAGCACATTGAGACAAAATCTTTTAAACAACCAAACTAAAAGCATACTTCAAACAAAAGGGGTAAAAGCGATAGGGGTTTTAATATCAACAACCAGCAGCCTTTTCTGGCTTAGTTATCACCATGAAAATCCAGAAGTCCTTTGAAGAATCGCAGATCATACCTAAGCTGAAAATGATAATGATAGCTCACAAGGGCCCTGAGCTGATGATGAGCCTAACCAGCCTGACTGTGCCACGATCACCCAAACCCTCTTTGCTGCATTTTTTATTTTAATCTGCAAATACTAATAATACTAATACAGGGTTACTTTGTCGTTGACTCTTACCCGAATACTCCAGGTGAGTAGTATAGGTAATGGTGATTCTACCTGCAACTCCATCTGAGCTTTATACCCCAATACCTATACTACAGGGGTATTATTTATGCAAAAACGATGATGCGATTCAATGATTGTCATGACTCGTATTAAAAGAAACATCAATATTAATTAATAATGGATTTACTATAGCCCGTGAGGATATTGGAAAGGTATAGGGGCAATAAAAAAATTAGACACTGCGGCTAAGGTATCTAAAGATGTAACCAAGGATTAGTTAAAGAAACAAGCAATGTGACAAATGATAAGGTAAGTCGCAAAACATATAAATACGCTTTAACCGTAGTGGATATGGCTAGTCACTACAAGGAGGCTGAGCCATTAACCTCGAAGTAGCTAATGCACTGAGCTGCATATATAAACATGGACCATTAAAATGGCCTAAGTTATTTCAAGACGATCCTGGTCGCGAGTTTATGGAATCAGTAACTAAACTTTTAACAAAGCACGATGTCACAATAAGGCGTGGCGAAAGAGGCCCACCGTAGCCAAGCTATTGTTGAAAGATTTAACCAGACATTAGCTGAACGTTTGTTTGGATATCAGTATCGGATTGAAATAAAACGATTAAGATCAACCGAATGGGTGACACGATTATCAGCAGTTGTATCAGTGCTATATAATGAAGTAACATGATTAATTGGGAAGAAACCATCCGATGCGATTAAAATTAAATCTGTGACTTCTGAATCTTCAGCACCGAGGAGAGGCAAAGAACAAAAACTTCCAGGTAGAGTAATCGTAAGATATTTATACCAGCCTGGTGAACTCGAAGGAGGCCAACGCCTTGCAACCGATTCGATTTGGTCACTTAAGATATATAACATTAGTTGGTTGGTTATGAAAGAAGGAGAGCCTATTCTTTATTATCTTAAAGATGAAACAGGCAGTGAATTTTTACGAGAAGAGTTGCTCATAGTTCCAAGAGATACAGTATTACCACCAGAACCATAAGCATAGGTAGTTACACCATCCTTATCAATCCATCTCTTTGTATCTAAGGGGGATAATGATGTCTTGTTCATTCTTAATCCATATATCCTGTGATTGACACTTCTTAAAGTGTTCATCTCGTGTTTGAATGTTCTACCATTGAATAATGCTTCTTTATACTGTTCGTGTTTGATATGCTTTTTTACCACATACTTCTTCACACCTTTAGCTTTTCTTATCTCCCCATTATCAGACTTCTTTATAGAATACATCTTAGGTCTTAATCCAACATACTCTGCTATAGAAGTTCCAGCACATTCATCCTTCATCTTATCTGATACCTTTTTATTTACTGCGCTGTGTAATGGATTATCTTTAGGGTAATCACTTGTATCGTACATATCTATTTTTTCTGCCATATCTTTATACACATCCTCGGTTTGAATTTCCATCAACAAAGAATCTGTGTTGGTCTATAACACATCACATCTATCGCCGTATTGATTCTTAAGTTCGTTGTAATAAAAGTCATACATCAAGTGTTTTGACAAGTCAAGAATACTCATGCCTACGTACACCGGTCTGTTGAATTTTATATTACTTTTCTGCATATGTAATGCGGCTAAGTCGTTATCAAATATCTTGCTTCTGTTAAAAGCCGGACTGGCTATAAGTTTCCTGAGTCTTTCTTCCTCATTAGATCTGACCAATTTAACATCAACATGCTTCCTTAGATTCTCCATAGTTTTACTAAATACTGAGTTATTCATGAGCTTAAATAACTTCTTTTCGAAATTGCTTGAAGCCACCTTTCTTAAATCTGTGTTCAGCCTAATATAGGGTTCCATCCAAGGTCTTTGATCAAACATAGGAACTCTGTATTTTCTTTAGTTTCATGGCTAGTGATAGATATAACTGGAGATTCCTATAGTGAACTATATATTTTGTCTTATTCATCAAATTTGGTACGAATTTTTCTCAGTTACCCCTGAAATACTGTTCGCTATATTCAGCACTATCGTCTGCATTATTTTTACTCAATGACATTTTAACCGTTAGCTGGTATTTTATACTATTTAAATCATCTAACTCCTCATTAATTTTGCCTGATACGATGGGTTTAACATCATTAACATCCATGTTGGAATTAATATCCATCTTCCAAACTCTTAGATATTTACCAACATTCGGTAAAGCAATCAATTCAGCTTTTCAAATTCGAGAATAACCTCTCAGCCCACTTTTTTTTGCTTGAGCTTTGAGTTCTCTAACAGTCTGGGGTTTGTTGTATTTCAAACCGAGTAAGGTAAACAATTCCCCTTTTCTCATTCGAGCACAACCACGTAGACCACGCTGTTTTGCCAAAGCCTTCAACTCTCTGACAAAAACCATTGTGATGTAATGGTATATGCAAAATGCGTCAAATGTCTAAATGGTTATTTTTCATATATCTAAACACGTATTCTCCCCAACCTATTCCTCTCGTTGATGTAATCCCTCTTCCTAGCGTAACTAATCTGGTTCCTGATGTTATCAGTGCCATGTTTCTTGCATAAGCAGTAACGACCTTTGACCCCTATCCCACATACAGAACATGTATAGTCTATATTTCCCTGTCTAACGTAGTAAGCATGAATTCCACAAAAATCTTTCACACATCGTCTGCCACAGATAATGGGCTTTCCAAAGAGTGTAAATCTACACAGATTCATGGTTGTTATACACCTATCATATCATTTGTCTAAATGCAAATCAGCCGAGTCTCTGCCACCTCATAGCTGATAAGACTCAGCACGACATAGCTCATGATTTATGTTGCCTAGTGTGTTGCCAGGGCATAGCTGATAAGACTCAGCGCTATTAATAGCTCATAGCTGATAAGACTCAGCGCTATTAATAGAATGTTGTCAGCTCATGGCTTATGCGTAATAGCATAGCTAAAAATAGCTACGATGGACAATCCCAACGCTGTAAATGCTATCTCTCTGTGTTTTTGTTCCTCTGACGGTGTACAAAACTGAATGATTGTTTGCCTTTTGTCAATTGGATCAAATGTCTTTCCATAAACAAGGAAATATTCATGCATTGCAGATTCAACATCCTTAAACGTTTGAATTGAATGGTTTTGTTTACGAAGTTTATCATTAATAAAATCTAATCTCTGGGTCCTTCTTCTGGACCATTGTGACTGGGCTGTTTCGAGTTGTTTTAATGCTTTATTATACCGTTTCCGCTCCTCTTCAATTTCTTAAGCATTTTATTCTCTCATAGTAGAAAATAAAAAATTACTCCCCAAAAAAGCTAGAGCATTAACAATAGCTCCACCGACCATCATCGCAATTGATGCCATTTTTATGTTTATAAATATTCAAATGTTTAATTACTTCATTATGTCTTCTGGGATAAGCCCTTGTTTGATTAGCATATCTTTAGTAGCCATAGCCAGGCCTAGATCTAGGACCATCAAACCAATATCATAACCATTAAAATTTAGCTTGGGTGATGTGGCTTTAGAAATCATTTTACCTATGTGCGCATAGCCAATGGCCAAGCCGCTGACCACAGCTGAATGACACGCTGCCTTTACCAACATTTTATCAATCTGCAACTGGAGTAGTCATGCTTTTATAACATTACATGAGGGCTTAACTCTAATTGAACCTCGACTGATTGTGTTTTCACTTCTCCATTCTTAAAAAACAACCATACAACTGCTATAACGCCTGTCGCACAGGGAGCCCAAGTTTTACTCGAGTTTGTACTATGTTCAGTATGGGCTTTTGCCTTCCTCGCTAGCGCTCCCCTTCTAACGGCTGCGACTTTTTGAGGAATCTCAGTCAATCTCACTTGCGGTGTTTCCACATTTACTTGTGGTGTTTCCTTATTCACTTTTGGCGTTTCTGCAATCACTTGTGGTATTTCTACCTCCATTTATATTATTAGGTGGGCACGTATGTTTAAATTGACAATGCGGTTTTTAAAGTGGTGGTCAGCGGCGCCAAGAACATTCCGTATCTATTCTAAAACTCACAGCCTACTGCACTTCAAGCATGTTCAATGAATGGGTCTTTCTCGAGAGATTCGCATAAATACAGGCGATTTTCTGGCGAACAGGAAGAAACGTACTAGCTACAGCTGTGTATATTTGTACCATAGCAGAACCTATTGTTTTAGTCATGTTAGCTCCCAGTCTAGACTCGTAATGCGCGCACAGTTTTTTTATTTCTTCATCGGTCATATTATCAATTTTTTCAGTGATATAATTTTCCCCCAAGTATTTGCAGCATTTTCCAAAGCTGCGAGTCTTTCTCTTTGTTGATCTGTAACTACAGGCTCTGGCTCATCTTGGAGCAGTTGTTCGATAAGTTCGTCACATTCCATCTTTTTAATGTAATACCCTAGCCGATATTTAAGTCCAACAAAATGAAATATGGCATATCTAATACAGCCCAAAATAATAAACTGTTGCAAAGGAATGAAGATTTCAAACCACATGATTACATAATCACTGCTAATGTTAAATTTACCGCTTTTTGCTATATTTTGCTAAGCAGATGCTATATTTTTGCTATATTTTGCCAAGCAGTTGCTATAATTTGCTAAGCAGTTGCTATATTTTTGCTATATTTTGCTATATTTTGCTATATTTTTACTATATTTTGCCATAT